TTAATAAACTTTAAATTTTTTATTAGTTGAAAACTATAATAGGGGATATAGGTTAGTGAATAAAATGTTTGCCTACTGCGTAGGAAACCCTTGTTCTCAACCCACACACCAGGTGTGGTAGCATGAGCTTGTAATCACAACACTCAGGGGAGATAAAGGCAAGAAGATTAAAAGTTCAAGTAATCCTCAGCTACATGTCAGCTTCCAGGCCTACCCGGGATGCATAAGATCCTGTCTCAAAATGAACAGTATTACAACATTGTAAATATTGAAAGGAAGCAAGCTCACAGATTTTTCTACCTTGTTAAAATGAAAACCATGGTAACTCTCTCAGACAGTGAGTCTTGATGAAATCAACAGTGGGTGAGATTTTTGCTTCTGTCTTCTTGCTAATTTTTTAAAACTTTATTTATTTGTGGCTTTCACATCACCACGAATCTCAATCCCATTTCATCTCCCTGTCCCTTCACATATGCCCTCTGCCCTTGCAATCCCACAAAATAAAATATAATAGAGAAGAAAAATGAAAAGAAAATCTCATTGTGGAAGCTGGGATGTGACACAGTGAGTCACACAGAACATCCTTCAGTCCACACCTTTACTTGCAAGTGCTCATTGCAAAGAATTACTGGTCTGGTTCGAGGGTCCTGGTTTCTGATATAGTGTCAATGCTGGGGCCTCACTAGGACTCCTCTAGGACATCCTGTTGTCCTGTGTAGAGAAGATCCTGCAGCCTTCACATGCTCCAGCAGATCATAGATGAGGTGGATGATGAGGTAGGCCAACTCATAGCCCTGTTCTGGGCCTGGGTGGTTGTAGGGTCAGTCAGCCTGCCAGCTGTCCCCTGTCCTCACCAACAGGGTGAGCTCTCCAGCATTATCCCATTCTTGTTATATTTTATCATCAATTCCTAGCCACACAAAAACACTCTTATTGTCATCCAAAGGTTTATAATAATATTGTTATTTAAAATCCCTTATTTAAAGCAGAGATGAAACTGTTAACCATTATTTATAATATCATTTCAAGCCAAATGCTGATTTTTTAATTACCAATACTTAAAATATGTTTTATTTTATATAGCAGAAACACAAAACACTTATTTTCTCCCTAAATCATTTTCGTATTTTTTGAGAATTTCATATGTGATTATTGCATTTACATCATTTCAACCCCACTTCTCCCCTCTCCAGTTCCTCCCATGCCTCCTCATTTCTTCTCATCTTCATGGCCTTGTCTTTAATTGTCATAGATGATAGATAGATAGATAGATAGATAGATAGATAGATAGATAGATAATAGATGACAGGCAGCTGGATAGACAGACAGATAATAGATATAGATAGATAGATAGATAGATAGATAGATAGATAGATAGATAGATGATATATGACAGGCAGCTGGATAGACAGACAGATAAAAGATATAGATAGATAGTAGATATATATATATACAGATGCCAGATAGTAGATAGGTAGATAGTAGATAGATAGATAGATGACAGCTATGTAGATACATAGATGCATAGATACATAAATTCCACTGAGTCAATTTAGTAATCTATGTAACAGGAGGCTTGTCTCTGAAGAAGACTAATTTTTCCATGTTTTAGCAGTCATTAATTTCCTGTAGCTCTTCATCTAGGGGTGGGGCCTTGTGAAATTACCCCCATCTATGTTGGTATGTTAACTGGCATTTGCATTGTGCAGGTCTTCAGAAAATACTTATTTTCAGGTCTCGGCATGGTGGCACACACCTTTAATCCCACAGAGGCAGGTAGATCTCTATGAGTTCAAGGTCAGCCTAGTCTACAAAGCTAGTTCCAGGACAGTCAGGGCTGTTATACAGAGAAACCCTGCCTTTGAAAGCCCCCTGCTGAAAGGGAGAGAGAGAGAGAGAGAGAGAGAGAGAGAGAGAGAGAGAGAGAGAGAGAGAGAGAGTATATATTCCTGTATGCCAAGATCGACATTCTTTTCAAATACCAATGAAATAGCTTATATGATGCTAATGTAAAATTTGAAGATAATAAATTATTTGGGATAACCAGCAAGTCCTAGAGGAGGCAGAAGGGAAATTATTATGAGTATAGAGTAAACTTATAAATAGTGACTAATATCCTGTTCATGCCATCTACCACAGAGACCATAAGCAGTAGAAACAAACATTTCCATGTCTCATTATTTTTTTCTAATTTGTTAACTCCTTCTCCTGGCAGTAAATAGTACCAAACTTTGTTAACTTTCATACTCTAACTCAAAGGGAGGCAGCCTGATTGGCTTATATGTCATCATTAGTGAGAACCTTACTATAACTGTTTTGTTTTTTAATGTACCAATGAATGAGGTATGACCTAATTAATTGTATTATCTTTTCTTTTTTCATTTATTTTTATTTCAGTCATAAACAACCTTATTTTACATATCAATCCCAGTTCCTTTCCCTCCTGTCCTCCCATTCTTCCCACCAACTCTCCAGCTCACCACCCTTCCAATCCTCAGGGAGGGTGAAGCCTCCCATGGGGGATCATCAAAGTCTGTCACATCATTTGGGGCAGGACCTAGGCCCTCTCCGGTGTATCCAGGCTGAGAGAGTATCCCTCCACAGGGAATGAGCTCCCAACATCTGTATTATCTGTTCAATGAAAGAATTTGTTGAAATTGGCTTGTGTGCTTGCCTAAAAATGAATAAAAATTTTTTTTCTCTACTAGATTGACAACTAGGCTATCAAAAAATAAACTCAGAAGGGAGCTGTGGTTCTGTCTCTTCAAAATTTGAAATACAATCATTTTAAATGTTCTTAACTTTATACATACTTAATTAGAATTGTAGCTAGACAAATTAATAATCTACTCTTGTAAGAGAAAAGGCTAATTAAGTTACGATTTTCCTAAGCAGCTATTGAAATAGTCAGCTACGTTTCAAGTTCTTTGTTCATTGTTTTACTTTGAAGTGAAAAAGTTCATGTTCCTTTAGAAATGAAAGTGGTTTTAAATAGTTGAAGTCATTAAATTTATTTTTTAATCCAACAATATTTACTATACCTTTCCATTTTTCTTTTTCTGTTATTCTTTTAACTTAATACATTCAAATTCATATCCTTAATTATATTTACAATTGCATTCTAGAATGGGTTGGTTTTCCTTTAATAGCTTATCTAAAAGCCTTTTCTTGTTCAAATGGGAAAGCCAAGCTGGGAAAGATTTTGATCTCATATGATTCTGTTTGGTATTTTAATAAAGGCAACAGAATTTTAGGATCAGTCCAAATATTGTCACCACAAGTCAAGACACAAAAGGAGTCAAGACAAGCACTAAAAAACCAACTCTAAAACTGAAGCATAAATCAACTGAAGCTAAGAAGTAATTTAAAATACAGACTGGATTATAACAGTATATAAAACTGACTTTGAGGACTGGGCCATGGTGGCACGCACCTTTAATCCCAGCACTTGGGAGGCATAGGCAGGCAGATATCTATGAGCTCAGCCTGATCTACAGAGTGAGTTCCAGGACAGCCAAGGCTACACAGAGAAACCAAAACAATTACTTTGAAAGGGCAAAGAAAACAGATAAAGACACTTGGAATATCCACTGTTATATAGCCTCCCCATGGAAATTTCAGAGAAATCACAACTATATGGATCCCTTAGGGAATATACTAGTGTGTATAATAACCAAAATTTAAAGATAATTAAATATAAATAAGCAAGTAAATTGAATTTTACTGTGAAATAACCATAAAGAAGCAAATAGCCATCATGTTCCCACAGTATTTTACCTTCTCAAAATTACAAAAGAATGAAGGGGTAGAAAAAAATACCATAGGTTTAGTTACTATCTGTTTTCTTTTGCTTTGTGGGCAATCATTTCATCAAAATTTGGTCTTTAGCACTGAAAGATTTTCAGTGTTAGGTATTGATTAGGTCATCTTTTTTCAATACTAAATCATAAAGTGTAATTTTCCAAATCAAAGGGGAAAATCATTAGTTACTTTAATGAATAGTGTGATGAATACTAGTAGGCTCCAAAGTCAAATTGCTTAGGTTAAAATCCTCTACTAACCACGCATGAAAAGTAATCAAAATTAGTCATCTTTCAGCTTTTGCAATTGTAAAATGGAATTAATAATTGTCCTACCACATTTGGCTATGAGAGCATTAAGTGAATTTGTCACATAGGTACTTAGTAAATGAATGTCCTTTAGTAAGTGCTCATAGTGTGGTGGGTTAAATAAGAATGCCCCCACATGCTCATATATCTGAATGTCTAGTCATCAGGGGAAGAGTGTTACTATTTGAGATAGATTAGAACAATTAGGAGCTGTGGCCTTGTTGGGGTAGGTGTGGCTTTGTTGGGAGAAGTATGTCACTAGGAGTGGGCTTTGAGGTTTCAAAAGCCCATGCTAGGCGCAGGTTCTTTCATTTTTCAGAACAGGATGTAGCTCTCAACTACTGCTCCAACACCTGCCTGTGTGCCTTCATGCTCCCAGTCATGATAATAATGGACTAATCATCTGAAACTGTAAGCCAGCCCCAATTAAATGCTTAGAGTTGCCTTAGTCATGGTGTCTCTTCACAGCAATAGAATACTAAGGCAGTAAGCATGTAATTAATTTGAATCTTTTATTTAGATGAACTATTGGTGTATAGCTTTATGAAATCCTTTAACAAATAGTAATAAAATAAGGGATTCACTAATCAGTAGTGTTCATCAAGTATCTGAACTCAAAATCAAAATATAAACCTTTAAAAGACAGACCATAAATTATACAAACGTCTTTAGTAGCATATGCTAAATTTATGTCCTCTTACAATGCAGACAGAAACATTCAAAACACTCTTTCCCACAGTGATAACCCTCATCCACCTGGGTGACATCAGATGATTATAATTCATACATGTGTATTTAAGGATGTGTATACACTTGCATGTGTATTCTAGAACTTATCTGTCTCATTGCTCTTTGTTTATCATACAGATTACACCAAACCCAATACCTAACATGGAAGAAGCCAGAAGCCAAAGCATAGAGGAAGACTTTGAAGGACAGGCCACACACACAGGTAACCAAAGTGCAGAGAAAGCATAATTATTAAAGTAAGATTAATTCTAGAAATATCTGTTGTTCTTATGGAGAATATTATTGAATTGAAGTACTATCATCAACTTGTCAGGAAGAATAATCCAAAAACATTTGACTAAATAAATTAGTTTAAGATGAAATGGCCAAAGATTAGTTATTTGCTATTTCAGTATCAAAGAGTTAAAAAAAAATTGTTGACAATTTCCTGCTACCCAGTTATCTAGGAGTCTTCTATCTACAGTTGAAGTCAGGCCTTTCTATTCTCCCAACCCTCTTGTGTGTACCCAATAAAAACTTTCCTTAGTACACTGTCTGTGTGTGTGTGTGTGTGTGTGTGTGTGTGTGTGTGTGTGTTCAAAAGTAATACTTGATTTTAGCTTTTTGAATGTGAAAATGAGTAAAAAGATAATAAGGCATGCTTGAATCAAGTGGATTTCAACCTACCTCCAGAAAACCCAAAACATCATTTCATCACGGGGATTTTCTTAACTTCTTCAATTGTATGTGGCTATTTATATGTCATTAGCGAGACCTTAAATGTTAAAGTACCATGGCTTAAATTTTAAATTCCAAATCCTTTTGACTCTACAGAATCTTATGAGACTATTAAGTTTCCCATATCTATAAGCATGGATTGGAACCTTTAAATTTAGTCATAGGTTTGAATGAATTCACACTAGTACCAGGATAGATACCTAGAAATTCGTTTAAGAATAGCTATGGTAAGAGTATGAAATAATCAAAGAAAATATAAGAGAAATGATAGGTAAATTTACTGGGAAGAAGCAGGAAATTATGCGAGGAGACAAGTGAACGGAGGGAGAGAAAAAGAAGGTACATAGAAAGGGAAAGGGGGAGAAACAAAGGAAATACCCATTGCTTGGTAAAAGCTATCAGGAGAATATATTAAAAGAAACATTTTCAAGTATTACTGTTGCTCCTCCAGTAACCCCGGTTTCCTTTAACAGTGTAGTACCAATGTTCACCTTGCAGTACCAAGGTGAACACTGGTATTGCAAAAGTGTCTTTCTTACATAGTGAGCACTGTTTTTCTAAAATTCTGGTTGCTTTTATATATTCCAATTTTTAAATATTTTTACTTGTACACTTCTGTAAATAGTTCAAAGTACATAATTTACATTTTTATTATTATAGGTGTTTTTAGAAATATTCTGTGTCATAGTCTTTGCCATCTAGTAAGGTTAATCTTGGACATTATTTTTATGAACAAGTCAGGAAAAATATTTTTAGTCTAATTAACATTGTTTGCTTCTGATGCAAGAGATGACAAGTTTTCTCGTGGCGATATTTATACAAATTTCAATTATGTAAACAGCATTTTCGATAATAAAGAGGAAAATGTTTAAAAACTTTATTTCAGGACCTAAAGGAGTAATAAATGATTGGAGAAAGTTTAAATTAGAAAGTGAGGATGGTGACTCAATTCCTCCCAGTAAGAAGGAGATCCTCAGACAAATGTCTTCTCCTCAGAGCAAAGATGACTCAAAAGACAGAGTCAGCAGAAAGGTAAGGGGAGCAAAGGCCTGTGATAAGTTCTTAATGTTATGTATTTCCTAGTCTAAGTCCCTCAAGATAATCACTTCAGAATATTGTGAAATGCTTTCATTGTGGTACAGAGTGAATACAGTTACAAGGTATTCTATACTAAGACATATATGTGGCAATCAGAGAATGAGTTATAAATGTATGATCTATCACAGATGAAGTTTTGCAATATGAGAAAACAAAATATAGAATTTTAAATTATGCCAACAGCTTCATTTTTAGGGCAAGGAAGACACCGTCGTGTGCTTTCACTCGTGCATGATTTAAGCACGAAAATTTGTGTGCAGAGAAGTAAAGAGATAGATGCTCTCTTGGCAGAGGATGGCCATAGTTTAGAAGAAAGAGATTGCCTGGGAGGAGAAGGAAGGAGATGGGCAGAAGCTTAACCTTTTTAAGACAGCATTGCAAGAGTCTAGTTCTGCATGTGTGTGTCTGCGTCATACAGATAGAGTTAAAAATAGCCTCTAAAATGTCAGTGGAGATTATCTGAATAGTAAATGGGTAGAATATCAGTAATTTTACTTCTTTTTTTAAAAAACTTTAGGTCACTTCAAAATCTCCATAAATAGCTTATATTACTTATATAACAAGTTTAATAGCAATAATAAGGAAGTCATAAAGAGATTTTCATTTGTGGTGAAATCACTCTAGTAGATTACTTATCTCCAAATTGTTTTATATTGATAATATGCTGAGTTAAGAGACTATCAACAGATATGTCTTGGCCTATGGCTTCAGTCCATGATAGTGATCTTTAGTCTAACACTGTGAGGGGAAAAGATAGAAGCTGATTCTCTCTCTGGGTCATTATGTGATGTGGATGAGACCATCACATTTTCAAAACTGAGGAAGTTTAAGAATGTCCTCATTTGTTTTAAACAGATTGTGAAGAAAAACAAATAAAAAGTATTTTAAAACAAATTACTATCAAATCTGAGGTGTTATTATTGAAGATTTTGTTCTGTTTAAACTTCCAAAATGTGCTTGTATGCCTAAATATCTATGTCTCAATGTATGAACAGAACAACTTCATATATATGAAGGCTCAAACACATCTTTAAATCAATATTCATGAGACTTGGTTGCTTGACGTAGCAGAACTATGATGGCAACTTAAGAATTATACAAAACATTTAATAATTTTAGGACTAAAATAAATTAAATCAAGACAACAATATTGACATAGAAAAGTTATTAGAATAGGAGATTTGGCTGTGGCAGCATATGTCTATAATACCAGCATTGGGAGGATGAGGCAGGAGGACTTTGAATTCCAGGCTAGCCTGAGCTACAGAACAAGACCATACCAAAAGCAAGAGAGGAAAGAGAGGAAGGAAGGGGGCTACAGATTGTTGGGAAGAAAGAATTGGGGATATTAGGGAAACAAACACAAAATGCAGAAGGAAATAATAAAAAATGGACGGCAGCGGCAGTTCAAGGTTATATGATGAAGAAGATGCTACAGATAGCAATCCCTCTGCAATCCCCAGCTTCCAGCTTCCAAGTTTCTAGGCTGCTCCACACCCTTCAGTGAGCTGTATGACAATAGGCTGCATCACTCCTTCATTTTTTTCTTGGTTGGGGGGAAGCAGTGATTAATTGTCTATCAAATATATTAATAATGGAGTCACTATTATGAAAGGGTATTAAGACAATCTGATGTTCTAATCACAAGAAAATGTAGCTATTTTGGAAGATACATAGTTCTCTTACTTTTGACTAAGCCAGTGGTTAGGAATAACTGAGAGGGCTTGTTAAAACACAGACAACTCAGCCTCACCCTTACAGGTTCTGATTCAGCAGATCTGAGCAGTGCCCATAATCGGAAAAAATAATTGCCGACACTGAACACATTAATCAGAAAACTGATAGTAGTTAATTAAAATGTAGTACAACCCCCAACAGTACTTGTTAGTATGAAAATAAAAGCAGGATAGAGAAAGAGGAGAGTGGAGCAAGGGTCCTCTTTAAATTGATCAACCAAGTAACAAAACAAAGTTCCCTTTTAGCCAGTGCTTAAACAGGAAGGCTATGAGCAGGAAAGAAGCGGCCTAAGCAGAGAGGATATCAAGTCAAAACTCCTGGGCTTGGGAATAAGTTTGGTGCATCCAAGGATGAAGCGTTTCTGATCAAATTATCTCTATTATTTCTTTCATGCCTTCCCAGATGAGCATTCAAGAATATGAACTAATTCATCAAGACAAAGAAGATGAAAATTGCCTTCGCAAATACCGTAGGCAGTGCATGCAGGATATGCATCAGAAGTTGAGTTTTGGGCCTAGATATGGGTTTGTGTATGAGCTGGAAACAGGGGAGCAATTCCTGGAGACCATTGAAAAGGAGCAGAAGGTCACCACAATCGTGGTGAACATTTATGAAGATGGCGTCAAGGGCTGTGATGCACTCAACAGCAGTTTAGCCTGCCTTGCAGTAGAGTACCCAATGGTCAAGTTCTGTAAGATAAAAGCTTCTAATACTGGTGCTGGGGACCGCTTTTCCTCAGATGTACTCCCTACCCTGCTTGTATACAAAGGTGGGGAGCTCATAAGCAATTTTATTAGTGTTGCTGAGCAGTTTGCAGAAGAATTTTTTGCTGGAGATGTGGAGTCTTTCCTAAATGAATACGGATTACTACCAGAAAAAGAGATACATGACCTAGAGCAGACCAACATGGAGGAGGATGAAGATATTGAATAAGCATTCACTATGTCAGTATCTTGTATCTGTTCTTTACACAGTAAACACGGATTTTTGGTAGTATCTATATTCCTTTAGCAAACTCTAAATATAGCCATGGCTATTCAAATCTGGGGTGGGGGAGACACTAAAATTATGTTAGTAGCAATTTTTAGTATGTTACCCAAATTGGCATAACACCTTGTTATAGAAATATTGTAGTTTTAACAAATACTTAGTAAACAGTGATGGTGGATAATGTCAGTGTTACGTCACTTTAAAGATCCCTTTCAAGTTATGTGGTAGCTTTTTTTTTTTTTTTACTCCTTGCCCTTGGCATTTTTATTTGGGCTTTTGAAACTGAATACTACTTATGAACTGACTTGTATGATAAGAAATAAAATCCTATGAAGAAACAAATATTCTGTACAAAGTCTACTGTGAGTCAAGTATTATATTCTCATGTACCTAAAAACTTCAGAAAGCTCAAAATACATTTGTTTGTCTCTAATAACCACAAATCTGCATGTGAAAAGTATTGCTTCCATTTTTTAATACAGTGAAATACAGTGCAAAGAAGTAGAATTTTAACTTTTACTTCTCTTGAAGACATCTTGCCAAAAAAAAAAAAAAAAGCCAGACAGTGATGGGTGCCTTTGATACCAGCAAAGGAGGCAGGGGCAGGTGAATCTCCATGAGTTCAAGGCCAGCTTGGTCTACAGAGTGTGTTCCAGGACAGCCAAAGTTACACAGAGAAACCTCATCTCAAACCCCCTTCCAAAAACAAAGAAAGAAAAGAAGACATTTGTAAGTTTGTCCTCCCACAAACAGACATGGAAGTACAAAATAAAATCTAGCATTAAAAGTATAAATACACAAGTCAGCTGAAGAGGAGGGTGAAAGGTATCTAAACCAGAGGGAAAGGTAATGGTGAGTCAGGGTTGAAGCTATATGGCAAACAATGGAGGAAATGGTACTTGGTACCTGAACAGAAATGGGCTCTTTGTGAGGTATGTGTTCAGAGCAGGCTGACACAGTTCTCCCTGGCAGCCCATGAGTGATGCACACAGATCTTTGAAGCTTTGGTCTCTAGTCTTTTATGTAGTTAGCATATAGCTTTTCTTTTTCCTGTGACCTTTTTTTCATACCTCCTCCCTGACTGTAAACACTTCATCCTGTTCATTTCTCACTGATAAAACAGATGTTATCCGATGAGAACTCCTGCATCTCTTTACTGATAACTACACATAAGCTGTGTCTACTGACATGACTGAAGAAGAGTCCACACAGGTGTCTCCAGTCAACCAATGCAGCAGTGTAGCACCTCCACTAATTCCCACAGGCACGCAAGTTCTCTTCTGGGCTTACTCCCCTCTTCTCTGCATTTTCTGCCCCCTTTCTCTAATTTTGGCTTTGAAGTGTTTGTAAATCACCCACTATTCAAAGTATGTCCACCTACAATTTAAGGTTTTAGCCTGCCACTCAAATCTCTGATTTTCCTTAAAATCACAACTCTCAAAGAAGGTATATAAAAACTACCTACGATCTGTTTCCTATTTCATTTTTATATCATTCTGGTGGCACTTGGTGCCAGCAATTTCAGTAAAGTCGAAATATCTTATCAAACTTACTGGCCAATTTTTGTTCCATATTTTATTCCACCTCCCATAAACCCATATGAGAGATACCACTCTTCCCCCTGAGTTACTTCCTCGGGCTTCTGACAGCATACTGACATGCCCCCATGCAACCTCTCCTCCTCCTAAGTCCTTCATTGACCTCTCTACTTACTCCATCTAGGTACCCTCTTCCAGGCCACTCGGAGAGTCACATCTCATCCCTCACTTAGACTCCCCAATCTTCTCTATCAAATAGAGGAATAGAAGAAAGGAAGAAACAAAGGACAGGACAGGAAAAGAAGGCAAAAATTCTGCCATTGGATAGATGCAATGATGAGTTCCTAATGCAGATGAGTAAGAATTCTTGAAAATGACTTGCTTACTCTACTAGCATCTGACATAGCTTTGTCCATAAATGAGGGCTTTTGTTCATGAATCTAAATCCTGAATATTGATTCCTCACTATAAATTGGGGAAAGCATTTTAAACATCATATGGCATATTTCTAGGTTTCTAGGCAACAAGGATATCACACAGAGGAGAGTGGTAAGAGGGAGCCATGTGGAATGATTACATATAAACCAAGAGCTTTTTAAAAGAGTTCAACTTATTTTTTTAACCAAGTAGTAGCTGACAAATGTATTCATCTCCTATAGAACTCTCTACTAAGAAGGTACTTACCTTATAAATACAGCAAAAAAGCCAGACACAGCTACACCTGGCCCTCAGGAAGCTGAGGCAGGGGCCTGGGAGTTCAAGGACAGCCTGACTACAAAAAACAAAACAAACAAACAAAAAAAAAAATAAAACACAAAAAGACAAAAGCAAAGCAAAAAAATGGAAAAAAACAGGGTCTTCACATGAGGTATTTATAAATCTAAAAACTCAAAACAATAGCTATAGATTGGCATTAGTTCTATGGGATGGAAGAAACTTTTTTTTTATTCTTTTATTAGTTCAAGTTAGGAACAAGCTTGTTTCACATGTCAATCCCTTCTCCATCTCTCTCCCCTCCCCCCAACATCCCACCTGCCCCTAGCCATCCCCCTCCACTCCCCAGGCAGTGTAAGGCCCTCAAAAAGGACTCCCTAAAGTCTACCACATCATCCTGGGCCAGGCCTAAGCCCTTTGCTGGAAGAAATTCTTAAAGGATGGTGTCAAGATGGACAGGGAGGACAGTCAAATAGCTCAAAAGACAACAAATAGTTTAAGAACACGATGTAAACCCTGTTCAGTTAGTGGCCATTCTTAGTGGCAGGAGAAGCAGCTTTGCAGGCCAGAAACATGAAAGAAAGGCTAGCCAGTGAAAGGAAAGACCCATCTATGGGAAAACAATAAAAAACGACTGCTCTGAATCATCGCTATCCAAAGAAAGCTCTACTCCTGTAAGAAATAAACCACCATGTTTTAATTTAAAATAAACAGCTAGCCAGCTTAAGCAGGACTAAGCCCAGGAATGTATTTAACCCGTCACTGTCAAAACAAAAGTAACTAGGTGGTACCAACTTAGAGAGAGTGAGTGATGATAGCAACCATTCTCAAAATAAGACTAGGTGACTAATGGGTGCCAGGGTGAAGCTTTGATCATATAATACTCATCAGGAGAGTCACACAAAAGACAGGATTCGACTAGAATACTTGAAGTCTGCTGTTGCAGCAATGCTGCATTACCAACGCCTTTACAAGAACACTCCATCTGCTGTTCAATTCCATAGGAGAAGAGATCATTGAAAAATATATTTGTTTTTTTTTCCTTTGACAATTTCAACACGGTATTTTGAACATATTCACCCCCAACCTCTCCCCTTAACCTCTCCCAGATCCATCCCAGACATCATTTTTGGCTCAGCAAAGGAGTCTTAAATTAAATGGTTTAAGATGTTATCAAGTGTCACATAACTACTCAAATAATAACTGTAATAGACTTGAAAAATAACGTACTTGTCATCTAAGGATACAAAATTTTATAAGGAATAGCAAATTTGAATTGTAAACTGAAAAGCTAATTTATTCATTTGTTCATAAAACATTACTGATACTCTGTAATGTCCATGCTGGGTCCTTGATAGCAGGAAACATTGATAAAGAAAACAAGAAACAGAAGATAACTTTTATAGTGTATCTCCATGTCTCTATTTTGATGGAGGTGACTCTATTGGGCACCCTACAAACTTCTTGGTCTGGTTCCAGTCACTCATTTTGTGAATTTGAACACACTAATTAATCTCTTTGCACCTTTTTAACACTTGTCAAACACAGATAATGACAGCATTTCTTCACAGAGTAACTATGAGACAAAAATGAGTAAATCATGTAAATTAATTAGAGTGCCTAATATACAAATATTATTCAAATGTTACTTTGTCATTATTAATAAATAAACAGCAAGTAAAATGATTCATATACTACACAGATTTAAAAGCATAAGATTATGCATATATATACATATATATATGAGCTAATTCATGAAGATGTCAGATGCAATGCATATATATCAAACACACCACTCACATCCTTCTAGAAATGAACTTACTAAACAACTTATATACAATTTTTAAATTAAAAGTGAAAAGTCCTTTAAAAATAACAGGGTAATAAAAGGTAGGTATGTGACTCCAACCAAATAGCCCAACCACTGTACACACTAGATTCTACAGCTCATCTGACATGCTTTGGGGCACACTGGATGCTGATGACCACTCCCAAATTGAAATTCTTGCTCTAGTGGGTGTTCATAAACTATACTTTCAGTCTTATCTTGTGGCCTTTCTTCCTTGATAGTTCCTCCATTGTCTCTTTGAATTCTATTATTCATCCTAATGGCTGCTCGTATGTCACAGTTTCTGAAATTCACTACTATTGGTATTTCTGTGGAGACTCCTAGTGTCCACTAAAAGATGGTTAGTAGTATCCTTGACCTTTCCCAGTTAGATGCTAGTAGCCCCCCTTCTCTAATTGCAACAACAACAAAAAAATCTTTAGACATTGTCGTGTTCTCTTTTTTTCTGTTTTTTATTTAATTTACAAAATTATAATTTTACACGTCAATCCCTTCTCCCTCTCCCCGCCCAACCCCTCGCTGCCCCCTCCCCCCTCTGCTCCCCATGGAGGGTAGGGCCCTCCACAGGGGCTCCCCAAATTCCACAACATCATGCTGGGCGGGGCCTAGGCCCTCCCTATGTGTCCAGGCTGAGAGAACATCCCTTCACATGGGATGGGCTCTCAAAGTCCTTTCTTAAACCAGGGGAAAATACTGATCCACTAACAGAGGTCCCATAGAGTGCCGAGGCCTCCTCATTGACATCCACCTTAAGGGATCTGGATCAGTCCTTGATGGCCTCCCAGACAGCAAGCAGTCTGGGGTCCATGTGCTCCCCCTTGTTCAGGTCAGCTGTTTCTGTGGGATTCACCAGCCTGGACCTGACCCCCTTGATCTTCATTTCTCTCTCTCTGCAACTGGGTTCCAGAGTTCAGTTCAGTGTTTAGCTGTGGGTGTCTGCATCTGCTTCCACCAGCCACTGGATGAGGGCTCTAGGATGGCATATAAAGAAGGAGGCAAAACTCATCCTCAGTTGAAAATCAATTACCATGATATAGAAAATGTACCTTCTGCTTTCTTATATTGGTGGAAATTGAATTCACCAAAATTTCTCACTAGAACTCCTGCAATCATTTCCTAATCAGACTTCACAACTACCAATTATCAAGTTGATATCAGTCTGCTAAACAAAAGATTAAGGAGGTGAGCAAATCCTAAGGCTGTTGGAGTGTGCTGGTGAAAGTTTTCTTGGGACATCTGTGAGACAACGGAAAACAACTGGATTTGTGAGGTATTTTAAATTATATTCTGAAACATGTTGGAATATAAACATTTTTTATAACTTCTGGAAGTGAAGTATCTATGTATAAATAGTGTACCTTCCATTAGTGAAACAAGTAGTTCTTTTTAAAAAATGTAAACTCAACAGCAACATTTCTCTAGGTAATTTTTAAGAGTGTGATCTTTCAGTTTCAAACTGAAAAAAGTATGTTAGAGACACATTTGGGACTAGAGGAAGCAGAAAAATAACTCAGTTAGTTTTTACTCTCTTGCCAAGGAAGCACTGGGATACACATATATAACCCCAGAACTCCTGTGGTGGGAGGAGAGGTAGGGAAGAGAATTATTGGAGAGGTAGAGGTGGTCTCTTGTGGTCCAGCTAGCTTGAAACATACAACACAACTGCAGGATTACCAGGAGAGGCCCTACTTCAACAAGATAAAGGAGAGTCAACTACCAAAATTGGATCTCTGATCTCCACATGCATTCACATGTTAAGGCATGCATACAAGTACACACACACACACACACACACACACACACACACACACACACACACACACACACACACGATTCTGCATGCCTGCTAAATAAATAAATACAAAATTAATACAAAAATTTAAATAGTATTTACATAAAGACATGCCGGTTTTATGACAAGAGAATATGGCAGTTTGTGCCTATAAGTCCAGAACTTAAGTAGCTGAGGTAGGAGGTACTCAAATAATAACTGAAATAGTGTTGGGTAGGAAGAGGTAGGAAGATCATGGCTAGCCTGAGCTACATAGTGATACTGTGTTTTATACAACAAAACCATCCCAAATTTTGTTATTTTTATAGCACTGAACTTGAAAAACCTGATATAATCAAATTTTAAATATATATAAAAAATTTCTATAGACATACAAATGCAATAATCATTTTAGTTTTCAAGCTCTCTGCTATTTCAATCGCTCTTGTGTCTTTAAAGAAGAAAAATCTGAATTTAAGAATAGACACATTTGTCACAAGCAATTGTTTGCCCTGTTATGAAAATAAAACATTTTGTGAAAAGTAAAATATTAAATTCTTGAAACACAAAAGTTAACTACTATATAAGTTCATGATTCCTATGGAAGTCATCTAAAGGCAGCACCATCTGTGTTCACGGCACACCGTTCACTGTGCCGTGAACAGTGGTTGCTTTAGAAGCCCCAGAAAGCATAGTCAACTTTGTAGTATGCTAACATAGAAAGATGCTCCTGAACATACTATGTGATAATTCCCCATAAACACACCAAAACTCATATCCTGCATTAGGTACTAGAAACTAAGACAGCTTATAGAAGAAAGAGTTTATTGGAGCTTACAGTTCCAGAGGGTTAAGAGTCACGATGACAGAGCATAGGACTGATGGCTGGAGCTAGAAGCTGAGTGTTGACATCTTGGTCTGAAAGCATGAAGTGGAGAGATTAAATTGGGAACAGAGGCTTTGAAACCCAAGACCTGTTCCCAATGACATTCTTCAAAGTTCCAGCAAGGCCACACCTCCTAAACCTACCTAAACAGCATCACAAATCAGAGAGCACATGTTCAAATATCCATACCTATGGAGGACATTCTCATACAAATCACCGCGTATCCTAAGTTGAAAATGCACTGAGTACATCTAATGTAATAAAACCCACAACTTAGGACCACAATATAGTATAGAAAGTTTTTGTTTAGCCCTGAGATTAAGTGGATGAATGAAAGTACACCTGACATTTCAAGAGAGTATGATGCTACACAGTGCTAGCCAAGGCTGAAAAAAAAACAAAATTAAAATTTCAAAATATGGTTTCTAGAGAATTTATGTCACTTCTTCACCATTGTAAGCTAAAATAGAAAATAAAACAAATGTCAAACTATTACTAAGCAGGAAGACTACATAAATTTACATGCATCAATGGTATTTAAAGATCTGCAAGAACATACAGGGTAGAATGTTGTTTATAATATGTTCTGTTCAGGAATGAAGACATGGAAGAGTTAGATGTTAGTTATCTTTCTCACATTCATATAGCTAACAAGATATAAAGCTTAATCTTAGTCTTGGGTCTACCAATCTTAGCTCCCATGTTTTTTCCCATTAGGCAATACTATTTACCTGAAAATTACCAACACACTATGAACCAGATCCAGGTTTCTATAAGATCTGTCTTAATATAGTTTAGGTCTATGTGTCAGTTCTGCAGAAAAATAGAAGGAAGAGGAGTAGGTAAATAAGAGAAAACAAAGTTACCTGGAGTCAGGGAAAGCTTCGGTCCAGAACTCTAATAACTAATGTAGTGGGTACAAATCTGAAAGAGAAAACAGTGAAGAAAATGGTAACCTAACTTTTCAGTTGTGTATTTTCACGATCTTAGCAACAGTATTAAGGAAACATTATTTTATGGATACTTAAGATTTGTAACTGCAAACTGTAAAATCCTATTTACCTTTCAGGCTTTGTTTGGGTGTTTTTTCTGCCATACTATGTAGGAAAATGCTCCAAAAGTGAGTTTTTCATATGATCAGGTATGTTTACTCAGGATTTATTGTTTCTCACAGTACCTATTTTTCAGCCTCAATTCTTGAACACATAGAAGCTTAATTTTAAGCAAGTTATTTCAAAAATGATAATTGAAAGGTTATTCACCACTGACAGCACATAGTTAGCTTTCCTACAGGGTTCCTGCTGTTACAAATGGGATTCATTTTTAGTAGCTAATGATAATCATAAGCAAAATTAAATATGGAACTTGAATTACAGAGACTTACATAAACTATGTGAGTCTCCATAGAAGTTACAAAGAACAAGCTATTGCTCTACATTGCATTTCACTTTTATTAAATAATAATTACAGGTTTGGGAGAGATGGCTCACCAATTAAGAGTACTTGCTGCTATTACAAAGGCCTCGGGTTTGGTTTCCAGCACACTCTTGGTAACTCACACCATCTTTCATTCCAGTTCCATTAATGGTACCCTTTTCTGGTCTCCTCGGGCACACACAGAGTGCACATTCACACATGTTCTCAAACAAACACATAAAATAAAAAAATTAAATCTTTTTAAAAATAATAATTGTGGATGTTGGGCTGCAGAGATAGTTCAGCCATTAAAGGGTCAACCTTTCTACAGGCTATGAATTTAGTTCTTTGAATATACATAAAAAGATACACTCTCGATAGCTTCCCTTGAAAGGGGCTGAAGAGGCACTGCTCAGTAGTTAATTGAGTATTCTGCTCTTACATGAGATTTGATATGAGTTCATTTCTCAGAACCAATATCACATGTTCTGGTTCCATGCACCCACATTTATAATTTTAGCTTCAAGGGATCCATGTCCACTGGCACCTGGTCTCCGTGGGAACCGGCACTCACATACAGAAATACACATTGCAGATATCAATTTTATCTGTATTCTTTCCTCAAGTATTTCAAAAGGAAGGAGCTTTGCAAGTTTTAATTTGTTGTTGTTGTGGGTAGTGGTGCTTATACAAAATCAGGGGAACTTTTAAACTCTATTTGGCTCTTCCAAAAGGAAAAACAATCCATTGTCATCTATTTGAAACCAGAGTTATTTTACTATTATTATCACTTCCAAAGTGAAAGCTTTAAGTAGAAATAATTCTAAACATAGTAACAGTGACAAAAGCATTAATATTTAAATTCACTATTTAAAAGACCTATAATGTCTAGTTGGGATTTATAAAAATTCCAAGTGGTTTTTTTTTTTTTTTTTTTTTTTTGGTTTTTCGAGACAGGGTTTCTCTGTGTAGCTTTGGAGCCTATCCTGGCACTCGCTCTGGAGACCAGCCTGGCCTGGAGCTCACAGAGATCCTCTTGCCTCTGCCTCCCAAGTGCTGGGATTAAAGGCATGCACCACCAACGCCTGGCTTAAATTCCAGGTGTTTTTACTCAAAAGTAATTAACTTAATGTTTAATGACACAGAAAAGTAGAACATAAAAAAGCAAAGTGTATATAAAGCAAATAATTTTCAAAAGCAATTGTCACTACACTAACAACCTTAAAGAGGAAAAGTATCATTAAATATGGAAAAGATTATCGATAATGATTGTTATTTGGAAACATGTAGTTTTTCCTTCGATTTTATAGGGGTTCATAGTTAAGAGATTGATTTGGTCCCCAGAAGAGACGTTAGGCATTTAAATAGTGTTGGGGATGTTATTCATTAAAAAGACTTGGAAAGTTGGCATGAGGGAAAAGTTCATGATGGAAAGTTCACATCATGAAATGGCCATGAACTAATGGGAGCTATGGGTGGAAGGATATAGTTTGAATGTGAAATGTATTCCACATGCTCACATTTGAACACTTGGTCCCAGGCTAATGGTACTATTGGAGAAAGCTGTAGAACCCTTAGGAGGTAGACCATGTTGGAGATATTTGTATCTGGGCTTTGTGACTTTATACTTGACCCATGTCCTGTTCATTCTGCTTTGTGACTGAAGATATAATAAACCAGATGGCCTCCTCAAACTGTAAGCCAGAACAAATCCTTCCTCCCTTAAATTACTTTTTGTCAGTTAATTTGTCACAGCAATGAAGAAAGTAAGTAGAATAGTTTATAAGACATGAATATAATAAACATGTAAAATATTCCTTGTTTCTTATAAAAAATAATTAAATATAACAGAAAAAGGTAATTCACCAAATATTTTAGTACATTTTCTCAATATTTACTAGATAAAATAACAAAAATTGGGCTCAGAATGCATCCTACTCATGCATGCCATGTGTTCCATGCAAATGCTAACTACATAATTAACAAGCTTCATCTATGTTTGTTATCTATATACAACCCTGCAACAAACAGTTCATGAAGTAAGCAACTCCCCCCCCCCCGCAACATACAAGGAAAATTCTCAAAGGTAAATGAAGAAACTGTAGAACAAAAATATAGTAAGTAAAAATTAACTTTATTTTTATTAATATCAAATCCACAACTCCCTTAAATAATTACTTTTATATAGAAATAGAAAACTCTTAAGACTAAAATATAAGAAGATGCTTAGTAACAAAACATCAGAGATGAAAAACTGTACTATTAGAAACATAAATTTCAAGGCATAGGGAAATCAATCAGTGGCAGAGCACATCATCAGAACAAACAAATTATAAAATAAAAGGACAATAAATTATCTGAGTATCTAACCCAGAAGTTAAGAAATATGCTTATATTACAAGGTAGAATAATGAGAAAGTAAATAAGACTGGAAATCAATGGAATATAAATTCTGTTTATAAAACTTCTATTTGCAATAGACGGTTGTCAACACAGAGACCCACACCTAGCCAAGATGAAGAGAATAAGATACTGTAAAATGTTCAGCCCTAAATATATATACTGCATCACCTCCACCAAAGACTAAGGGATGCTTGCAGAAGAGGAAGGAGAAAGAGTGTAAGATAAAACAGTGTCTTTAGGACACAGCAGGGCCACTGCATATATGAACTTAGTGATTGCAGCAGCATTCACAAAACCTGTGCAAGCCCAAGACAGAGGAAATCCCAGCACAGATGGGGATTGGAGCACCTGGTAATTGTTAGCTGCTAGGAGAGAGAGAGAGAGAGAGAGAGAGAGAGAGAGAGAGAGAGAGAGAGAGGCAGGTTTCTTTAGGAGCATAACCTCTGGTAAGTTATCATGTGTGAGTGAGTGGAAGACACCATATCGATGAATACTGGAGCAGCTCAAATTGGCCTTGATGGGTTTTTACAAAAAAGAATACAAAGTTTGGTGAGTAGAGATAAGATACAGATCTGGTAGGAGTTGGAGCAGTTCGGGGTGAATATGAAACACATTGTACAAAATCTCAAAGAACTAATAAATTATTTTAAAGAAGAATCTCAAATATGAAAAACTGTTTATTTTAAAAGAATGATAGAATATTAGAATCACATGTTGAAGAAGCATAAGCAGACAAAATGAATCTTTTTAAAAAAAAGTATGTAAAGAGTTAAAAAAAAAAAAGCATGTGGATGGGTTAGAGAAATGGCTCAGCAGTTAAAGCACTGGTTGTTCTTCTAGAAGACCTGGGTATGATTTACAGCTGTCATATGGCATCTCACAAATGTCTGTAACTCCAGTTCGGCCCTCTTCTGGCCTCCACAGGCACTGCACACATGTGATGCACAGACATACATCCCTGCAAAGCACCCATACATGAAAAAAAATTAAAAAACAATTATGAAAATCCAATTCTTGAAAGGATAACTAATAAGAATTTATGAAATTAAGAAAATTGAAAGCCTGATGGTCCTGTGAGTAGCAAAGAAATAAGAACAATGGTTACAAAATCTTGACAAATATCCATAGGGTCTAATTATATTTACAAGTTGATTCTATCAAGTTGATAAGACACAGATCATTTAATAGAGGTCCTCCTCCTTCTTTTCTTTTTCTTCTCTTCCTCCTCCTCTTTCTTCTTGGCATTTTTGAGCATGGGACTAACTGTGGCCCAGGATAGCCTAAGGTTTAAGTAGTTCAGACTGACCAGGAATTGGCTATGTAGTACAAAATATTCTTCCTGCCTCTTCCCAAATGCTGAGATTACAGGCATTTATCATAACTGTGAAAATAAATAAAGTCTTAATACCAAAACCAGATAGACAGTGAGAAAACGGAAAATTAAAGGGCATTATTCTCATCCTTTAATACTTTAAAACTAATTAAAATATAATCAAATCTAACAGTGTATGTAAAAGCTAAAATATGAACAAGTTGGATCTATCCCTGGAATGTGTTTAATTACCCGAAGGTAACAGCTATAGGTTATGTGTCTTGGTGACATCTTTAGCTTAGTATCATTATCTAGACCCTTTCCTACCTCTGAACTGTACCAAAGCTTGCGGCACTGCAATGGCTGTTCACTTCAGTCAAGTGAGCCAGATAGTTTTACCATTAAGCCCAGAAAGCATCCTACTCAAAAAACAGAACAAAAACCCTGAAGCTAAATCTACCATGATTCTGAGCATACACGCATTAATCAATATCTAGCATTAGCATGCATTAACTTCTGCTCACTGCCCATGCCTTCTTCATCATAATCCCCTCCTGTACTACCATCTTTGCAGCCTATGCTTCCTCCATCTTTAAAATCAACGCATTTCCCTTTATTCCTAACTACTTTTCCCCAAAACATTTCTTTCCCTATTTGGTAAATTGGAAACCTCATTCTTCAGGGTATCTTTTCCCTTCATCATCCTGAGGTGTTGTCTATTATTTAAGAATCAGTCCTTCCCCTTACCTCAGACTAGTAATCACTGATTTCTATAAATATCTTTAAGGCATATGTTACTAGCGTGTGGCATTTTTGTCCTGTCCTTTTAACTCAATATTGGCGCACTAATCATTTCCTTCACTTATCAAACACTAGACACTTGTTTTAAAGTCTTCCTTTATACTTGAAGTCCTATCACTATGTTGGTGTTATCATTCCAACAGATAACCCATGCAAATGCCATGCTGTTCCTTCATCTCATGTAAATGACCTACTTCGACTCGGCCATTGACTTCCTTTGCTATCACATGCATACTGCTTCTTCCTCAAAACATTATTGTAATGTTATTTACATGGGGGGTAGCAAAATTGCAGTTCTCGAGTTTCTTCTAGACCTTCATTTTTATTTCTTCATAGTACATGTACAATTTATTAGTGTATGAGAACTCTTTCTGCTATCTTTCTCCCCTTCACTTCTTTGCTTATTCATTTTCACTTGAATTAGGATCAGCGCCCTAAATTTCCAAGCACTTCTTATTTCTAACTTATTTATTAAACAAGGCTTCCAAATACTGCTATGTATATTATCATTGTTTTAGCTACAGTGGATTTATAGTGTAATGACCAACATTTTGGACAGCACTATTCCTGATTCTGCATTTGAATCTGAGAAGTCAGACTCGTGGCAGGAAGCACACAACTTCATTTCCATTTATAGTCAGTAACCTCAAAGGTAAATGTGCCATCTGGCAATCCCATTGTTGATTTGGTCAACTTGATGACCCATTCCTTGCAACAAGTTTTGCAAATGTCCCTTTGCTCACATTTTTTTTTTTTTCATTTTCAGGTGACTTAGAAAACTTCTTAGAAATCTGCAGGTATCAAGTATCACTTTTCATACCCAAGCCTGACAGCCCGTAAACATGAGCATCAACCTTCTCCTTACTCCGAGTGAGCTATTGTGTTAGAAGCAGCATCCATTGTCTAACAGCCAGTACTTACTCCTTTATAGTTGACCTCCTCACTTTCTGAGGAAGCTTAGAGCCACGTTTTCTGAGTTTTACAGAGTTGTCCTTCCTCAATTCTATATTCTTAATCATTCCCTTTCATCAGTGTCTTTCTCCTTAATATACAACATATACAATTACCCAAGTATTAACCATTAGGTTTGGAAAATCACTTTCTTGAGCCTCAGTTTCTAAACTGAAAAAGAAAAAAAGTATGATTGAAAACACTTTGTAAATTGAAAAGCACTATATAATGAATGCTGATGCTGTTAAGTTTGCCTCAAATTCAAAGGAATTAACTGATTTATCAAGATTCTATTTTTGTCAGATTTGGCAGTACAACTCAGTTTTCTAGTTATTAGCTATTTTTACTAATTTTTAAGCTATTTACCAGTAGCATATATTTTCAATTGTACTAACTTGAAAGTACAGAAAAGTTATTTTAAAATCTATGTTATTTCTACTTTGATAAAGATACAGTAACCTAACCTAGCTGAGGCTAATTGATATTCTATATTCTAACCATAGGATTAGGCATCTGGTATACCTACAACCAGATTGGATTTGACTAAAATAGAATCTGAGACCTGACTGAACTATTTTCATCTTGATCATTAAGTTCCTTTCCCAATTCCATAAACAAAATATCCTAACAAACTGAAAGAGCTAAATGAGGGATCTTTTCTAAAATGTCATGTCTTAATTAGGAATTTTTAAACAGAACTCTTTGGATATGACCATTTCAGAAGTTCCATAGCACAATATAAAAATCTAGCTTCACCAGCTGATGCTAGGTATGTAAATCATTTAAAAACAATTTTATAAACATAAAAATCAGGAGTAACCTATTTCTGATCATTGAGACAAACAGTTACCTGTCTTAGAGTTTCTATTGCTGTGAAAATCACCATTACCAAAAGCAACTTGGGGGAAAAAGGGTTTACTTCTTCTTACAGCTTGTAGTCTATAATCAAGAAAAGTTGAGGCAGAAACTCGAAACAGGAACCTGGAGACAGGAGCTGATGCTGAGGCATGAAAGAGTGCTGCTTACTGGCTTACTCAGTATGCTTTCTTATACACCCCATGACCACCTGCCCAGGGGTGGCACCACACATGGCTGTCAAGAAAACGACCCATAGGCTTGCCTACAAGTCAGTCATAGGGAGTTGTTTTTTTTTTTTTTTTTTTCAACTGAGGTTGATGGCAGACTTCTTCTCAGATGACCCTAGCATGTGACAAGTTGATGCAGAAACTCAAGTGTTTACTCTTCCTAAATATGAACAACTCTTCAATAACAGTCATTTAAATTAGGGTCCTATCAATAAGCCTGTGCCCCACTTAACAACACAAATATTTTGTAAAAGTCAATGAGACAATGAATGCAAAAGTACATTCAAAATGGTGAAAGCAGAGACAAACCAGTCACTTCTATTTTATTTAAATAAATTATTCTTTTATTCAAATCAAAACCTACTAACATTAATATAACTTTAATAGGTTATGAATTTCCCCCAATACATTTGCTCATTGGGCAATTAAGAACAATTTCCTGGGCATTTGTTGTGCAGTAGCTAACCTACATTTAAACAAATCCCTACAGTAAGAACCAACCAAGCTTATGAGCTTGTCATGGAGCTTGAGTTAATCCCCACAGTGCTGGTAAGAATGTAATGAACTACTGACAGCTAGAACACCTTAGGGCTTATGTAAAAGGAAGAGACATTCTACTGGTCTACAGAAGTAGCACAGTAAAAGGAAAGCAAGCAATAGATTAAAAGGCAAACTGTGATAAATGTACACGTCATATTTCCCCTCTGAATAAAGATTTTCTTCCCCATGTCTTTTGGTTTAGGCTTATCCTGAATGTTAGGTTGGCTAACATATGTAGTAGAAATCATATTCAGGAATTTCTGAGCCAGGGTTCAAAGACTTAGTCTCAACTTTTTTCTTGTTGGAATGTCCGTGCCTGTGTTACTTCTTTGACTCTAAGCATCATAAAATATGAAGAAACTCAGCCAGTATGATGGAAGGACTCAAAGCCAGATGTGAAACCTACACAGAACTGAGACGTGATGGATGGATTCCCAGTTGGGAGCTACCATCAATTGTCAACCATGTGAAAGAACTATCCTATATGTTTCAACCCCAATCTAGCCCCTAGGTAGCTGAAGTTCCAGCAAACACCAGGTAGAGAACTAAAGTGATTTCTGTCCATTCAGAGAACTGTGAGAAAAGCAACTATGATGTAAGTGGGGATGGTTTGTTAACAATAGAAAATAAAAGTAATGTATTGCTGCCATAAAGTAAATAAAATGAGCATCTGGACACCTGTTACTTAGGAAGGAAAGCATGGCAATACTGTTTCCAATGAATTTGTCACATCCTGATTCCCAGTTCTGCCATCATCCTCAACTTTTGTACCTTCAAAAACAATTTCACCAAAAATACATGTAATATAGTTTAAATTTGCTTAACTTTACAAACAGTATTACACGATAGGTAGACTTGGCATTTGCCTAACCATTTCTAAATAAAATTAATTTTATTGATTTAAGAGAGGGTCTCACTATGCAGCCCAGACTGTCACTGAACTTGAAATCTTCCTTCCTGCCTCAACCTCCAGGGCTGAAATTACAGGCACAGCCATGAAGCTTTAAATTCTACCTTCGTGTTTGCACATATGTCATTCTCCCTGCTAAATAAAATTGCATACCCTACAATTTACTTATTTTTTAATCAATAAATATTTGGATAACAGTCATAAATTCTTACTGTTCTATCTATGCAAGAATTTACCTAAGGTATGTATGTGAAGAATATAATAACTTAACTCTAAAGGTCAAATGGCTTTCTGAATACCTACAGTGTGAAGTACCTTTTATTACACCATTTTTATTAGCATCTCCATGTCTTAGTTTTTCAACCTAGTTAATGTAAAATGGTACTGGCTATATAGCCTTAATTAGTCTCTTATGTAGATAAATCTTTTAATATGTCTAGTCACGTGTTCTTAAAATTCGTATCTTTTTCTTACCTTTTTAAAGGATGGTGATCAAGTTAACAAGCATCTCCTTCTCTTGATATTTAATGCATTCATCTCTTTAATACAGTGCTGAATTAACTTGAATAGTGCATCTGATTTCCATGTGTGTTAACAAGTATAATCCTGTAATTTTCTTTTCTCTGGCTGTCCCTGGTTTCAGCAAGTTTTATGAGCCTCATACAATAACCTAGAAAGTCTTCCCTCGTCACATATGCTTTGAAAATTTGGTTAAGATTTTGAATAGTAATATTATCTTTAAAAGAGGGGTAACAAACTGAGGCAGGTGTTAACCAAAAAAAAAAAAAAAAAAAAAAAAAAAACCTAATTGGTTTACTATTCAACACACCTGAACAGGTCTATTTAACATCTATACTTAACTAAAATTTTACTTTCCAGAATTTAGTCTATTTGATCTAAATGCTTTGTCCACTTAGTCCTTCTTTCTTTCTTTCTTTCTTTCTTTCTTTCTTTCTTTCTTTCTTGAGCCAGGGTCTCACTTGTCTTTGTTTCACAGAGAGGAAGCAGTCCAGGGCCTTTATCTATGAAACATGCGCTCTATTGTTGCTTCCCATATTTGTCCCCCTCTAATCTCTTCCTTTATTTCTAGTGTGTTCCTTCCGAATCTCTTTCTCATTAGGCTGTTTCACCACCTCTCTCTTTTTTGAGAAGGTGCCCTTAAAAGTTAGCCATGTACTGCAATAATCTAATTTAAACATTGACTTGGCCTGCTTCCTGAACCCTAGCCCCAGACCCTCAGAGCACCCTCCTCCTATCCTCTAAGCCAGATTTTCCCAGTTATAACCTTATTTGAAAATTCCACATTAATGTTGCATAATAATATTTATTCACTTTTACATTTGTTTACAATTTCTGTAAATACTTCACTGATTGCTTTATACAAACAACACTTTAAATTTACAATATTGATCACTTTGTTCTCTAACACTTCATTTCAGATCTTGCTTTTGGAGTAATTTTCTTCATTGAAGACCATCTTTTTTCAGTTTCTTTAATGAAGATCTGTTGTTTCTGAGCTTTGCTTTGTACCAACTTTTACAGCTGCACTCACAATTCTAAGGTATTTTGCCACTTTCCTGGGAACACTGCTGCTTCCCGGGGTCTACTCTGCACGTGACTGACTTGCCTTAGCTGAGGACCTTTATATCCCTTTGGCTTTTTTACAACCTTGCTTTGTGTCTTGTGGTTCACTATTTGGACCAAATCATGGATTTTATTTTATTTTTAATGTGTTTCTTGAATTTATAAATGTCTTGCTAATGTGTGGAGAACCTGTCAGCCCGAGTGCTGCCTCTCTTCCATTCTCCCCTCCTGGTTCTCCTAGACCATCACCCCTCCCTCCTGCTGCTCTACCTCAGCTTCACTAATGTCTTCAGTCTTCTACCATTAACCAGCCTGCAGGCTGCCCTCTTCGTTTAAAGAATGCAGTCCTCAGGCTAAGGAGGGCTACCCAGCTCTCATCTGCATCTTTGGCTCTGTCCTTCGTTTTCTACATTGTTGTTGTGAACTTGGGAGAACTGACTTCAATGCTTATTTTTGTTTCCTAGTTTATTTCTCCTGCTGTCTCAGTGCACCTTGTACCTCATGACTTACAATCATGAAAAAATACTTCTTGATCATAATTTATGGGAGTCTTGGGCCTAAATTAGGAGTGCTTCTAGTTTGTTTCTGCCAGGAGCTACCCAGAACTACAGGGTAAGAGCTACTGAACATTAACTATCCCTGCCTCGGATAGCATCTTCAATTTACATATCTCTGTTTTTTGTTTGAAGCAAGCAGCATACTGCCGTGCTGCTACTGACACCTGGCATTCAGGAAACCACAGTCCATTTGTATGCTCAAAATAGTATTCCTGGTCTCCAGTTTAAACCATGTCAATAAAATATTACAACTGAGTGCATATTAGACAAGTCCTCTAGGAGGACTTGCCAGACAACTCCTGATGATATATCAACTATGTTTGCTACTGACTGCTCAAAGTTTCAATATTTTGATCAATGTGTGACGCCATTCAATAGGACTAAAATCTAAAATAGCTCACAGTTTGACTCTTCTGAAAATACATAATAGTGATGTGTTACATGCAACTCCATTTAGGTGTATAGTTTACTTTTGGAAACCCGGGCCAGATAACAAAAGCAGGGTAAACAAGGCAGCTGGTGATGTCATGTAAGTCAGAAACACACCTAATAGACATTATTGTAGCAGAGATTAGATGCAGCTGGGACATTTACATCTTTATTTTTCATAGCTGTTGTTCAATGTTTTCTGGGTGATCGGCAAGCTCACTGTGCCTCACCCTAATCACTGAAGTAATGAAAGGAGATGCCGGCCGCAAGGACTGCAACTGCTAGTGCTGCAATGGCACCTGAAAGTGAAACAAACACAAAACAATGGAAGGGGAATGAGCAAAAGAACGGCTCAACTGATCCTTAGGCTCCAAAATAGGGGTAAGAGATGGGCCTGTAAGACATTACACGCAATAGGCATACAAACATACGCACATACTACAGAAATGGGCAGGTAGGGGCTGGTGAGCTTCCAGAGGTCCTGAGTTCAATTCCCAGCAGCCACGTGGTGGCTCACAACCATCTGTAATGAGATCTGGTGCCGTCTTCTGGTGTGCAGATATACATGGAAGGAGAATGTTGTATGCATAATAAATAAATAAAATCTTAAAAAAAAAAAAAGAAATGGACAGGTATGTACATGCTAAGATCCAGAGACATCTTAGAGGAAAACATGGTAGGAAGTTGAAAAACTAGCTCAGAACGATTGGGCAAAGTGTCTCTCTTACACATATGCACACTAAGAGAAAACAGAACAAGTGTTTTAAAAAGTATCTGCAAATGTTATATGTGTATGTGTGGACATCCACATACATGTAAGTACACAGAGACACACACAAATGCACACATACCCACTATGTCAGCTGTTTCATACTTAGATTACACCGAAGCACAGATGCAGTGGGCAGGGCTTCTCAACCATTATAATGCACATTTGTTTGTACAGCTATTGTCCCAATCTAACACTTTGGTGAAGTGAAATTAATTTTAACATAGAAAACTCAAAATCAATTCATTTTTCAAAATTATAGAAAAGCAAATACCTATGTTTTGCTTAATCTTCAATCCAACTGTAGTTTTACTTGGTGGCTCTGGTTGTTCATCACTTGTGTTGGTTGGTGACGCTTCGCTCTTCACAGAGGAAGTTATACAAGCTGCAAGAAAGCAGAACAAATGCTACAGAAATCAAGAACTGTCATTTTTAAATAACATAAAATACACAATCAGCAGCATTTTCCTTCCCCTCACCCATTTTTCTAAAGATCTGTTTATTTTTATTTTAAATTGTTTTGTTCTTATGCTCATGTGTGTTTGCTGATGTCTGTGTACCACATGCGTGCCTGGTGCCTGTGGAAGTCAGAAAAATAAAAGACCCAGAAACTGATATTAGGAATCAAGCGTCAAGCTGAAGATTAAAAAAGCAAATCAGCCAGCAACTAGCTCTTTCCTCTACCTCAGCCTGAAAGGGCTGATCCACAAGCTCTCCCAGACCTCAGACTGCTGCCTTTCCTCAGCCTGGCTGGAGAGAATCCTGAGACTGAATGCCTGATCTGAGACCTTGCTCCCATTTTATATACCTCCCTAATGCTGGGATTAAAGGCGTGTGATTCCAGGTGCTAGGATCAAAGGCATGAGCTCTGTTACTCTTCACTCTTGTGTAAGACATGGTGGCCTTGAACTCAGAGAGATCCACCTACCTCTTAATTCTGAGTCCTAGGATTTAAGGTGTGTATCACCACTGCCTGATCTCTATAGCTTGAGGCTGACTTTGCTTTCTGAATCCTCAGGCAAGCTTTAATAAATCACAAATAATATATTGCCACAAAAATATCACTAGATTCTCATGGGAATCCCTTCACTAACTTCATGGAATTTCTCATTCCAACAAAAATGTGCTAGTTTTATAAGATTAGTGGAAAGTTGAAGAGATATTCTTGTAACATGTGAAGACCAAGAAGCATGTTCCAACACTGTGGTCTCTTGGCACAATGTGAAAACGCTGTTCCTGTGTTTGATAAATCATATTTCCTTATATTCACCAGGCTTATTTATTAGAGAGTTGTTTCACTCATGCAATAAATATTTACATTTTCTAAAAAAAAAAAAAAATATGACTAGAAATTTTACCTTACAAACTTCTGAAAGTTTAGGAAGGCAAGTACTGCATCACATTTTACAAATCCTAGTAGGTAAAGCAGTTGTCGACTTAGGGTTGGTAAATTTTTTTCACCTTGTTTTTTAAAGGGTAGAAAATAATTTTTAAAAATTGATTTTTGTGTGTGTGTGTGTGTGTGTGTGTGTGTTGTGGGCATGAGCGTGGATGCACATGGGCCAAAGCAGGGCATGTGCGGGTGGTCTGAGGACAACTGGAGTTTGTTCTCTCTCTCAACCAAGGGTTCCTGAGATGGAGCTCCGATTGTCAGACTTTACTGAGTCATCTCCCCACCCCAAAGATAAGTTTTTACTTCATTATGCTGGCAATACCTTATATATGTTTGCCTATGTAAAGTGACTTAACACCAATTGAAAGTATTTGACCTCATACAATCATACAGAGATCATACAGGCCAGTGGCTTTTGTTTCTCCTTCCACGGTGGAAAAAAAAAAAATCCAATGAAAACAAAATCTGACAGGAAAATCAACATATGTAAAGCAGATGAAAGAAGCATTACTGAGGCAGTGGCAGGAATGGAGAGTCCTGGAGGAGCCTGGCCAGACTCACACTGTCCCCCAGAAGTGGTGGTGCAACACAGTGCTACAGAATTCTAGGAAACTATGTTTGAAAGGAACTACTTCAGATTGATCCCTTCATTAACAACAACAACAAAGTATAGCAGTGTGTGTGTGTGTGTGTGTGTGTGTGTGTGTGTGTGTGTATGAGAGAGCGATAGACTAGGACATACTGAAATGTTTGCTTAAATGTAAACACCCTGTTTCAATTTAAAAAGTCTTTATGCATGTATCCCATACACAAACATAGACACATAAGGATGACACATAAATGTATTTTAATAGGTATCTGTGGTACCAAAACGGAAAAAAAAAAAAAAGTGACTATGTATTGTGGGAGGTGGCTTTTATGTACTTCATTACTTTCCTATGACTAAGGTCATCAATATTGACAGCAAGTGCCACTATCAGCTGAGCCATCTCACCAGCCATCCAGGACTTGAACTTTTTAAATAGATGAGTTTCCTATCCCTGTAGAACTATAGTCAACATTTTATGCATATATATGGACCAACCATTAGTTGGATGTGGTGCTGTCACACACCTGAAATTTCAGTACTCAGGAGGCTGAGGCAGAAAGATAGCAGATTTGACGAAAACAGATCATGCTTACATAGTGAGGGACAGTGTTGAGGGCCACGGAAGTATACAGTAAGCTAGTGTTCAGATGTCAATCCCCCAGAAGAATGATTCTCTGCAGAATCCTGCCCAGGCAGGGCCTGCAGGACCACTGACTCTGCAAAGTGTTGCTCCTGTCTGTAACTTCACATTTTCTAAAACAGCTATGGTGTCTCCCCAATACCTGCACTGTAGGTCATGTGACTTCATATGACATGCAGATACAACTCATGATTGCATCTCAATCTATGGGCACATATATTTGTGGGTGGTCAGGAAGATAACCTCTCACTAAGCTATAAAATTTTGATATATAGAAAATATACTAGGATACACTTCATAACTAGATCTATTGTCCCACGAGTACTGTAAGACACTTAAAAGCCTGCTTTGTTCCTTTTACTCAAACTACACACAATTAGCTCATTTTTACCTCAGAGCAAGTTCAAACTAGACTGAAGGTTTCTGCAAATGAATCATAAGTTAAAAACTTTACAGTATGCACATGGTCAGAGTTGCAGATGTGTGACTAAGGTTATTAATGTACAACCTAAAAAGAAAAACCACCACCACCAACAACAACAACAAAATCATGTCAATTCCTCACTGGCCAAGTCTAGCTGATAAAAGAACTATGTCTCAAAGCCTGTCTCACCAGACCCTGTGCCCCTGACATCTGGTCAGTTTTACACCAGAAACCTTGAAACTCTGTGTTGCCATGGTAAATGGCTCTGCCCTATGGCTTACCCAAAGAATGTGCTATGACCAATGAGATGTGACTCTTGTTAACTATTTTTACTGACTTAAACCACCAGTAAAAAATGTTTTTAAGCTAGGTGAACACAGAAGCAGGGGACTGAAACAGGGAATTAGAACCAAAGATTTAGAATTACAGATTGGAACCAAAGAATTAGGGCTAGAAAATTATAGACAATTAGGAAAACAGAATTAGAACTGGAGAAGGATAAAGAACATAACTCAAACAGTGTAAGTATGAGTTATTCTGTAACACCTCAGATTAGAGATTTTCTAGGTTCCTTCCACTACGATGTGGCTTCTGACCTGAAACCTGCAGGTAGTCTTGGGAGCTGGACTCACAAGCTACTGTGTTACTACAGGGGTTTGAGATACATCTGAATGGGAGTGTGACTTTATGCCATGCACAAGGCCCTGAGTTTCATTCCTAGCATCAAAATAAGCAATCAGGATTCTTCATTTTTCCTTAAATTGTTAATGCTTCTCAGGCATGTTAGAATGCATGGGAACAGGAAGGAGTTGAAAGCCTTACTGAATCACATAGCAAGACAGGTCTCAAAGACCAGGGTATGGGGATATAGCTCAGTAGTAGGAAGTTTGCCTGCATTGCACAAGGCCCTGGATTCAAACACAGAAAATAATAAACAAATAATGAATATTTAGTAACAAAGAATAACTGGCTTCAATGCCATGACAGAATTGACAAAGATGAGTTTCAGCATATTTTAAAGGCGTGTCTTCAATTTATTTTTATCTGACAATAGACAAAGTACATCTGAATTATTAAGTTAATGTCTATGAGATGACTAACACATCCAAGAAATTTTAAAGCCATGGTTATCCTTCAATATTAGTGAGTCATTTTGACAAACAAATTGTTTTTATCCCTTAAGTCGTTTAAAAGTATGTTACCTGAAGACACTTACTTGGCAAAATATGTATTTTTTAAACATAGCAACTACTTAACAACTACATTATAGACCATATAGTAATAGTCAAGCAGATAATAATTCCAAAAACTTAGAAATAACAACAGATATTTAGAAAGTTTCACACAACTCATTTCCATTTTTCAATCTGAACTATTTTCAGGGGTTTATTGTATGTAGAAACCCTGATTTCAGATGCTTATGAAAATCCAAATGTATTATAAAATATTATGCTCACACTTTAACATCAATGTGTTTTGAGAGTGTGCAGTATCCTACCATCCTCCATTTATATGTATTACTTTTTAGAAAATATATTCTCTAGCCCAAAGGAATCTGGGGCTCAGAAAGGCTTTAGACAGCTATTAGTTAGTGGCAGGCCTAGTCGCAGATCAAAGCACACCATGGCTTTCACTATGCATCTAAAAGATAAGCTACAGCTAGTTGGGCAGTGGTGGTGCACACCTTTAATCCCAGCACTCAGGAGGCAGAGGCAGGTGGATCTCTGAGTTCGAGGCCAGCCTGCTCTACAGAGTGAGTTCCAGGACAGTCAATGCTACACAGAGAAACCCTGTCCTCAAAAAACAAAAACAAAAAAGCCTGAAATTCCTAAGTTAAAAGCTTATAAAAGTTAAAACCCACAAAAGCAGATATATGGATTAGTATTTATATGCTATCTAGAACTACTAAATATTTAAAGAGGGATTAGGTACAATTTTTATATGAATATTTAAGATACTCTGTTTCCTGGATCATGATAATATAAGTAATGCTAAAATAAAAGATAAAATATGGTTCATGGGCACTTAATTCTAAAAATAAATAAAGTATATTGTTTTGAGGGTTAAAAGTCATTTATTTGCAAAAATGAAACTTAGTCAAATTATAAGGCTTTTAATAAAGTTGGTATTCTCTACTATATTACATAGTAATCTGTAAAACAGGTGTGTGCTTGCAGGAGAAGTAAAAAATAAAGGCAGTAATGGGGAAGAATTAGTGAAGTACTAAAGCTGGATATCTCTTCCCACCCCTGCCCCTATGGAGTGGGAGCTGAAACCAAGGTCTTATTTTGTCATCTAAACTGGCAGGCTCAGGAGGAACACAAGACCTTGGGGTAGCACACCCTCACCCTGGTACACATAGAGGGGACAGGTAAGGAGAAAAATACCATCACCTTCAGAGTCGAGACCTGACAGGAGGGGTAGACAGTCACTGACTGTGCTGACTCCTGTTACACAATACTCTGGCTAAAGAGAAGATGGAAGACAGACTTCAGGAAGCTAATCTACTGTCTTCTCAACAGTGGTGGCTCTTGGAAAAGAATTAGGTTTAAGATATAAAAAGAAAAACCCTGTAGATCATCTACTTACAATGTATATTGCTTATGTTTGCAATTTTTGTTGTTACTGTTCTATCTGAGAAGGGTAGCCTGAAACTCCCTATGTAGCCAGGCTGGCAATTCCCTGCCTCAGTCTCCTGAGGGCTAGGATTTAGGGATTAGCACTTAAATCTGCCACCATGCCTGTGGAAAAAAATTTTTTTTTCTTCTTGAATAACTAATCAAGTAACTGTAGACCCTAGAATTCTGATCATTATTTGATGGGGGATATTCTTCTGTATATATGTTTCTCTTATTGGTTGATGAACAGAACACTGTTTGGCTGATAGAAACAGGAAGATGGGTGGGGCTAGGAGATGAGGAGAATTCTGGGAAAGATAGGCAGAGAAGTGCTGGGAGGGTACACCATGGAGGGACTGGGAGGTAGGACATGCCAGGTGTTCTCTGGTAAGATAAGGCCATGTAGAAATACATAGATTAGTAGTTATGGGTTAATAATTAAGACAGAGCTAGCCAGTAAGAAGCCCTAAACATTCAGCCAATAGTTTTATAACTAATATAGGGTCTGTGTGTTTCTTTGGGGCTGAGAAGAGTGGTGGCACCTGGAGGGAAAGAAAACCACCAGTAACAATTATTCTTGAGTCAGTCCTTAGGTACTCTGAGGACCTCACTATATTCTCTGACATCCGTCTATCTTTTAAATCAGATAATAGGATTGTTTGGTTTTGTTCTCACTTGTTTGGTTTCGACAACACAAATCTTCTTTTCTCACCCTTCCAGAGGCTAGAAGCTGAATACCAGGATATGAACATTTTGGGTTTCTTCTGAGCACACCTCCTCGACTTGCAGACAGCTACTGCTTTCCTTTGTCTACACAACTGAACAGTATCAAAAGTCTATGCTCTATCCAAACCATCTTCATCTGATTTCTGGAACTGCCTACCTTACTTTAGTGTATGCCTTATACAATGAGGACATAGAGAAAACAACAAATTACACAGAGAAAATTTTCTAAAACAGTTTGAGAACTTTTCTCATGTTGAAATAAATATCTCCCCTCCCCCCAAAAAAGAAAGAAATATCCCAAAACTACATATTTCCACATATTTAAAGCTAACTGTGTCTCATGAAGATTCACGTGCTTGATGTGTTTTGAGTTAGGGTAAAGTTTCCAAAGAAAATACTCACTCTATGCTTTTATATGTAGAGATCTGCCATGCTTGTGTGTGTTCACACATACTTCCAGCTAATAATATGAAGAGTCAAACAGAATTAGCTTTAAGGAAACAGGAAGGTATGTTGAGATTAGGTATGGTCTATGCAGATTTTAATTACCTGTGTTTACTTCCTCTGCAATTTCCAAGTCTTCTATTTGAATCTCATGATCGAACATTTCTGAAAAATGGTCTCTAATTTCTTCAGCTGATTCATCACCGAATTTATAATCACATAACATTATAGCGGATCCAGGAAGGGGAACAAAAACTCGCTGAGGAAGTTCATAATCTAAAAAGAATATTACATTATCAGTATTTAGATATATCTATTATTGCTGTCAATAAACATTTACTTTAAAAATATAAAAACATGTTAGAATGAAGTTTGAAATGACAATGATTTTGAACTTCCTAGTCGACAAAACTGCTTTTATCGATTTCTTTCTTTCTTCAATTTCCCTGGCAGCTTCAAAGGGACCTAGGTAATATACCTATGAAACATAAACTCTCCTTGTCTTTAATGTAGAGATGTTGTTAATCCCAAGTCCTTATGAGACCCACTGTGTCCTATGATGAAAAAAATTTAGTTAATTTTGTAACTCTCCTATAGACTGCTACCTTTCTTATTTGTTTTAATCTTGCAAGCATTGTGCACTTTATTACTAACTTTTTCTTCATTTATAAATGCTTGAAGTCAATGCAGGGCCTTCCCTGCCTTTGCCTCCCCAACACGGAATAGAAGTCCATACTACAACACCTAGCTTTGTTCTCGGGATTCATGGGTCCTAGGGATTGAACTCAGGTCCTCATACTTGAGAGCAAGCACTTTTACCCAATGAGCCATCTCCCCAGTCACCACCTGCAAATTAGACTATATGTCCCTACATTTGAAAACAGTTACTAGCTACATAGATATAACTGCTGGTTAGCTCAAAATGTGGCTCTGATAAACTAACACAGAAGTAGATATGTGGTAAATAATAACTACTTTCCATCTGTATCAGATATGATTAAAAAGCTTCCAGTGCAAAAAAATCAAGCAGAAAATTGGGGTCATTCTATTAGCAATCTATACTTTTTCTTCAAGAAACTAGGACTACCTTATATAATTACAAGCAGAAGATGCTAAGTATTCCTTAAGTGTCATGGGAATGCAGTGGTATAAACTGTATGATTCTTCCCCTTTCACTGTACGATTGCATTTGTGTAGAACTGGAAGAATAGTTTTACTCTTTGGCCATACTGCCTCCCACTGTTAGAATTATATAACTGCAGTTTGTACCACAGCAAGCAAAATTAGGATGATGTTATATTTTGAACCAAGCACACTTGAATTTGAAGATGGTTAAGCACACTGCAAATTTGGATTCTGTTTGCTGAAGAAAGATTATGCTATAAAAACTGAATGCCAAAGAGTTGGCTGTAGAACACTTAAGAATCAGAAAGTCACCCACCAGCAGAACAGTAGGAATGGAGACACAAACATATAGCTTCAAAAGCAGACTTAATATAATTTTTTGGGTACAAAATTATCTTAATATGAATTACTAAGATGTAAAACATAAACTGCTAATGTTTCCCCAAAGACGGAATTCAACCATTTATGAACCTAATCAAGTCTGCTAGAGAAACAGCTAAGAAATACAAAACATAATAGTGTATAAACAGTACCTTAAAAAAATCCAGTATACAACAAACACCAATAAGTTAATGTTTGAGTACATATAAGATGACTTTAAAACCTACAACATCAGCAAAAGTCTTCAATTTAAACTGCTGGCACTGTACTCTGGCAAAAGTAGTTCCATCAGATACAATTGTTTTAAAAATCCTCCCTGAGAGGGGAGATAGAATGCAGCTATATACAGAGTCCAAGGGGAATAATGGAACAGAAAGTGTTATATGGGGAGGGAATGGAAAGCAGGGTAGAAGAGGGAATACAGGAAGGGATAACTAACACTAAAGACATCATATGAAAACCCACTACTGCAGAAGCTTCCTCAAGTATTTATATGTACATATAAAAAAGTTTACGCAGAGTTTGAGCAAAGATGCCTCTATGACATTACAGGTTAACAAATAAGAAGTCTGGTGCTGAGAATGGGTTACTTTCTTTGGAGTTATTGGCCAGGAAAATCCCATAAATCCTAACAGTATAGGCTATTGCCAATGTTTGTGTTTGCTCACCATGAACTCACTGTCAAGACCTACTGCTGAATGCTAAAACATGACGAAATCAACCTGGTGCTCATCTGAAAGCCTCACCCCTACTGGCTAGCATTAACAGTACTAGAAGGTGCTTTGCATGCTACTAGATGAAAAAAAAATTAGTCCTACCCCACTTTGAACCCTGTTAGCTACAATGACAACTGACCTGCTAAGACATGTCTACTAGTGCAATAGGCATGAATGTCGTGGGGGGAACCAACCAGTTTCTGATTGGTCTTAAAGCGTACTCCACAGTTTGAAACCCATACCACACCTGGCACTGTTGTCAGGGCTAAGAACCTCTGGCTGGCTGGGTCATACGCCCCAGATGGCAGACTAGTATGCTGCTAAATGAGTATCACATTAAACCAACTTCTAAGGACTTACTGTTATACCCACTGATTAGTGTATCTCTCAATCCTCATCAAAGAAGGTTTTTTTGCAGTAAGTGCAATTAACAGAGACCCACAACCAGTCATGGAGCAGGAAATGAGAGGTGCAGAATGCTCAGCCCTAACTGAGGCATCTATATCACACACCCCTGCCCAAGGTTCTGGGATTACAGCAGAATAGGGGCAGACAGACTGTAAGAGACAGAGGTGGTGACTATAAAAAAACAGTGCTTTCCAGACCCAGGAGAACACTTGCCCAGATGAACACAAATAGACTGTGACAGCATGGACAAGATCTGTACAACTGCAAGCCATACCAAACCCCAGCAGAGAGAGGGGAAGTGAGCACCAAGTCCCATCCTTGGCTAAGTGGCTACTGCAACTGATAGCTGCTGAGAGGAGAGTCAGTCTTCTGAGAGGTATGACCCCTAGTAGATTAAGCATGCTCCAGTGGAAGGCAACACCTCCAAAAATACGTGGGCAGCACAAAAATATGCCTGGCGGGTTTTAAAAACAAACAAGTTTGGGTGGGTAAGAAGGATATGAGAGGAGGCGATGCAGGAAGTGCATGGTAAGAAATTCTCAAAGAACCAATTTTTAAAATGAGAAAAAAAAAACATGCAGAACATTAAAAAGATCTTCCTTGGAATTGCTAAATGCTGACAGCTTTGCTAATAAAAAATGTTCACAACACAATGGTGGAAAAGGGAGCAACTGCCAAGGATTTCATTCAGCAATAAAAGTAAAAGACAACTTACTGTTTTAAAACATGCTATAGAAAATGACACACATATTAAATATTGACATCTTACTGTGTGAAACAGAACAAAAATTTAAAAAGTACTTATTTTATAATCATACTTTTTTTTTCTGGAATTTCATTCAAAATTAGATCCTCAAAAAGTATTTCACAGCGATCAGCAACCGTGTTCAAAATATCTCTCTTCACTGCCTATGGGAAAAACACAGTAAGAAATAAAACAACTTCAAAGTTAATTATTTCATTACAAAAAAATCCCCATTATTTGCTTTCTGGGATAAAATTGTCCACTTGTTATTCTCATATACTCATCGAACCTATTACTATTATTTTTAACACAGTTGTAGCTTAATAATAAATCTACATAGCCCATATTTAAATAGTGAAGTAAAGCCAAAAAAAAAATTAAAGTTTGTATCTAAACAAATTTTTCCAATATTCTAAATCAGGAAATATATTATGACGTAAATGCTGGTCACCACTTTTTAAATTTTTGGACCCTGAAACATTACCTAACAAGTCTTCCTGTGAATACTTCAGTTAAGAAATTGAGTTCCTCTCAAAAGAAATTATTTCAAAGGTACTGATACATCACAAGGGTAGAATACTTATTAAACCCATATACATAGTCTACATGCAAAATCTTGAAACTGATTGGAACTTTATTAAAACAAAATTAATAATCATAAAATGAAGATAAGAAGATAGTAAACTTCTGGGACTTTTCAATGTTAAGTTGTTTCCATTTTTTTCATACTCCAGTTGCTCTTTTTATACCTGCACTGCATCTTTAACTTTGGGTCTGTTGCTGTGGATATAAGCTCTGCATTTCACATCACCCCGAAGGTTTACAGAACCACTGCAGATTTGGACTGTGGCTGTGGATCTGTGGTCTGAATTCAGGGACTGAAAGACAAAATTGTAGAACATATGCCTGTGTACACGTGTGTGTAGTACCAAGGAAGCCAAATGTGGTGTTGGATCCTCTGGAACTAAAGTTATAGGATATTGTTTTCCAGCATACATCATCCTATTAAAAAAAATCCTACATATTCATACACAAAAAGGAAAGAGTTTTAAAGGCTATAAGATATAACATGAATAACAAAAAATCCAGAGACAGTTATTGGGGTTCAGGATGAAGACCAGAAAAGCAAAGCACCCAAGCCAATGCTTTTACCTCAACCATAGCTGAAATAGAGATCCTGTCGTCTCTGTTACTGGAAACTGGATCTCACATGAGACCCTTTGCTTCTTCCTTTTATACCTCTCTAGTGAAGGGATTAAAGGTGTGAGCTCTGTTTCTCTTTTAGACTGATTCACTTTCATGTAGCCCTGGGTGGTCTTGAACTCACAGAGATCCATTTGCCACTGTCTCCTGAGTCCTGGGAATAAAGATGTATGCCACCATGGCCTAGTTTCTATGGCTGTGGCTAGCTTTGCATTATGATCTCCAGGCAAGCTTTATTAGATCATAAACAATACATCACCACAATAAGGCACCTTTTTGGTGAAAACTTTTCGGGCTCTACAAGTATCAATGACTATTACCTAGACTTGAACACAAACCAGCAAACCGGCTTACACATAGCCTCTAAACTTAATGTGCTCACACAAGAGTGAACATTTTGGTACTAACATTCAAGTTTGGAAAAAGAAGCTCTGGCTTTGCTGACCAAATGAAAGTCAATGGAAGTACAGGCATTTGGGAGTTGGATTTTTATTCTTTGAACCTTCTATACATTAAACAACGATATTAATCATATCCATCTATCATGACCTCCTTCCAAGTCCCCCAAGTGCCTGTCTCCCAACTTCATGTTATTTTTATGCTTCATATTTTGGTTTTATTTTTATATTTTTGGTTTTTCAAGACAGGGATGGTCTGTGAAATAGTCCTGGCTGTCCTGGAACTTACTCTGCAGACCAGGCCTGCCTGGGCCTCCCAAGTGCTGGGATTAAAGGTATGTACCACCACCGCCCAGCTATGTTCTATTTTGTTATTAATAAACTGTTGCTGGATCTTGATGTATAGGTGAGATTCTGACTACGGGCAGCAGAATAAGGTGACATGGACAAGACACATGGTTCAGGACATACACAGAATTTAAAGACACCACAGCAGACATCCAAAATAAGTTAGAAAATATGTGATAATACTGGAAAGAGTCCTAAATTAGGCTTTTAAACAGGAAGTATCAAGAAGGAAGTTTAAGCTGGGCAGTGGTTCATGCCTTTACTGTCAGTACTCAGGAGGCAGAGGCAGGCAGATCTCTGAGTTCAAGGCCAACCTGGCCTACAGAGTGAGTTCCAGGACAGTCAGAGCTAAACAGAGAAGCCCTGTCTCGAATATGCCCCCACACTCCCCACCAAAGAAAGTCTAACTATAAAGGGTCATGTACATAGAAGAATAACATGCCTTGAAATAAAGGACACCTCTAAAATCCAAAGTCACATAGAAAATACAAGACAAAAAAGTACTGTGAAAAAATTCAAGAAACGAGGTGGAGAAGCCAACTTAGCAATGCTTTAGAATTAAACACAGAGACAGATGGCAAAGCATCCCTGTGAGCCAAGTTATCTCCACACTCTCAGTTTAGTTAAAGAACTGAAGGTTCTGGTAGTATTTCTGGGTTTCAAATCTAGAATCATACTTATATGAAGTTTTTTATGCTTCCTATAATCATGGTCTGTTCTTCAGGATAGCATGAGGCAGTATTAAAATGAACAGCACTTGGCCGTAATTACTTTTAATTTAAGTGACAGTTGTGACCCTCCATGTGGGTGCAGGGAATTAAACACATTATCTCAGCAAGAACAACAAATGCTCTGAAACATTGAGCCATTGCTCCAGCCTGCCCTTTGGAGATGTTTTATCAAATTAGAGTATACAATGGATATATACCTTAAATTAAGTATATGACAATTCTCCCTATATCAACACACATCTTCTTTTAACAATTTCTAAGAATTCTAACTCAACAGCCCAAAGTATTTAAATACATATGTGCACACACTTTAAAACTGTTACTTACATACTAACACTTTAGCAGCCTTGAGACCGAAAGACTCAAAATGGTTTAATACGAGCAAAGCTTCTTGGGAGTAACTTTCTTATAACTGAATGTTTTATATAATTTCATATCTTGCTATATTTTTTAATTAATACAATTATATTCTAATTTTTCATTATGTTAGATGAAGTAATTCATTTTAAATAAGTGGATTTAAAAATATTTACCAACTGTGTTAGCACTCGAACATCAAAAGAATGAGCAGTTGCTTGAGGATTTCCTCTGGATTTTTTCTAAAAAACACAAAAGCCAGATGGTTACAGTTATATTTGAAAAGTAAAAGGCAACTTAGGAACTATTTTATATTTTCTAAACAACAAGGAGAAAATAGATTATTTTAATTTTGCTTTTGTACAGACACATTGCATTATATACCTTTACATCAACCAATTAGTCTCTTAAATTATCCCCTACTTTAATTCCTTTAGATATGAGATTAGTAAATTAATTTCTTTATGTCAAATTCACATTGCCACATTTCTCTGTAAATAAATATTTACAGGGACAGTCAAGATCATTCATTTATATTATCATCTATGGTTACTTAAATGGAACAACAGGAGAGATGCATATTGGACCACACCAATATCTTCTAAAACCTGAAGGATTTACTGTTTGTCTTTTTCCAGTTTGCAGACCTCTGCTTTACAAGAGAGATCACCTAAGCTCCTCTTCATCTAGGAACTACAGTTGGTAGAACAGAAGACAGTTTTGAATAAGCTTTTACAATTTGGAGATCAGATAGGCATTAGATGCAGATGCTATTCCTAATTCCAGGATTCAGTATCTCAATTACACCAGAAATAACCTCTTCCTATCACTATCTGAGAAAAACATTTGCCCTTTACTTTATAAGACTCTGGAGCCCACATTGGTAGAGCTCACCTAGTCCCAGCACTTGGGAGACAGAAGCAGGCAGATCTTTGTGAATTTGAGGTCAGCTTGGTCTATATAGTGAGTTCCAGCTAGGGCTACATAGAACCCTACATCAAAATAAATACATAAAAAGCAAAAGATCCTAGAAATGAGTATATGAAACTTGTTTTAATAAAGACTACAACTAAAGATAAGTTTATTTTTTCCTTAAAAAATTAATTCATAAATGAGACGTGTTCTCTTAACTCACCTGTCCTTCTAATAGGTCACAATTTTCATCTTTAACTTGTCCATTAATCAAATAAACACCATTTTCTATTTGCTTGGCCCAGCGTGTAAGTCCACTCTTAAAAACAACATGAAATGTGTCAGATGGAAAGTTATCTTAATCAAGCCTCCTCTTCTACTATTCTCCACTTACTACACTGAAATCTTGAAAATGTCCAAGTATCAGTAACACAGTGTTTAATCCAGTACCACAAATTACAACAGTTCTAATATTTAAGCTCCTTACCCACATTTAATGTTTTCTGATCTTTTCCTAAAATTTATAACACAAGCCCTAAAGTCTTATTAACTACACGAGAATAGAAATAAAAAACAATAGTGGCTATTATTTTTTAAAAAATAGAAAAATGAGCCTTGAGTAGTATAAAGCAGTATTAAAGAAGAAACTGTAAATAGAGACAAGAAACAATGAAATACAAAGGAAAAAGAAAGGCAAAACTAACCAGGATCAAGAGAAGGCCATCAGTAAATCTATGGACAAAATTAAACTCTACATATGTTGACTAATAAATATTTATTAAGTTCCTGCTACGCTAACTATACTAGTACTATAACACTATTTTTGTTTGTTTGTTTGTTTGTTTTTTTAGCACTTTTTTTTTATTAGTTCAAGTTAGGGAACAAGCTTGTTTCACATGTAAGTCCCTTCTCCCTCTCCCTCCCTTCACCCCCAGCCCTCTTCCCCCACCCCCAACCTACCCTCCACCCCATCCACCCACCACTCCCCAGGCAGGGTAGGGCCCCCAACAGGGGCTCCGCAAAGTCCACCAAATCTTCCTGTGCTGGGCCTGGGCCCTTCCCCATGCTATGACACTATTGATGCTAAAAATTTTCTAATCCAGCTAGAGTAACAAGTTCATTATACACTTAACAATCATTTTAATAGAGTACAAGTTTTGAGGATTATAAATGTCCCAACCAGGTTAACAGCAGTTAGCCCACTCAGTAATCAAGGAAGAAAACATATTTTACTTTGATACCTTTGTATTTTTTTCCAGAGTGTAACTGACAGAAGTAGCCGACAGTGGGATGTGAATATTAACGTGAACAGTACACTCTAGAGACAGCCAGGAGGTCAACACTCTGTTTTGATACTTCCAATCGGCAGGTCTTGCTGAACTCTTTAGCAGGGAGAAGGTAGAAAAACAGAATATGAGATGGCTTAGGGAAAACATATGCATTGATAAAATAAGGTATAAAATCTATATATAGCTTGACCAGACTAGCATCCTGTACCACTGATCACATTCCCTGATTTAAGGGAAATAGAAGTTAAAAAGTGATGATGCATTAATTTTAGTACTTTTTCATACAAGCTAGACGATCTGGGCAACTCTGGGGGTAAGCAGACAAAGGATCAGAAAGTTCTGTTGAGAATTCTGAAAGGTGCTCTAGGCCTCAGCTTTCCCCTGTGGCTTCAACAGTCCATCCTCAAGACTCTGCTTGCAGCAAATTCTCACCAGGCTGCCCCTCAGTAAGGCTGTGCTGTCCCTGCCTCCTACACTGCTGAGTCAATTTCACAATGCTTTTAGGCAAATAAATGCCGGTCTGGCTTCTGTACCACACAGGGAGCCAGCTGACTAGGCATTGCAGCAACACAAAATCCTTAGTCACTTTTACCGTAAGCATCTCAAATGAAAGTCAGATTAACAACAACAACAAACAAAACACAAAAACTACAAGTGGTTGTACATATCAAAAAGAAGTAGTGACACTGAAAATTATTAAAACATATAAATAAAGATGAATTTTGTTTTCTTTTTTTTTAAAAGTAGCTTGTAAAACAGAAAAGTCTTTAAAGAGTGATGTTTCTTACCTTTGGATCATGGACATCGTAAGTTCGACAAGATAACCTTCACTAATTAAGGTCATAAATGACTCCAAAAGCATTTGTGATAATAAAATATGATCCAAGAACTAAAAATGGCAATATGAGTTCTTATAAGTTATAATACCTCAGATACTTAAAGACATATACAGATATATAGCTATGCATTTATCTAAGTGTTTGAGTGTTTATGTATTATGTATATTATATATGTATATGAATTGCTGACTATAGTATTCCTGGTGCTTCAAAAAGCAAACAAAAGACAAATTTCCTTCTGTTTGTAAATACTGCTAATCATAATAAATGAAAAGAAAGCAGCTCTGTGAGCTCTTGTTCAAATATACTCTACACAGTTTAAAGGAGTGGTGTTTCGGATGGGCTCAAGCCCAGGAACATTTACTGGGTTGTAACACTTCCTAGGCAGGTGACAAATATATTAAACACCCATCTTCTACAGGAAAAGTCTTCTTGAACTCTGTCTTCTCCAAGGCCTCATTTAGTGGGTCCTCGGATTGTGTCTCTTCTTTAGTTACTGTCTATCCTGGGGAGTTACAAAGGAGAGAGTCTAAGGAAATCACTTGACCATGGCAAACACATAAGAATTCCTACACTGCCTAGCTCAATTATTGGTGCTTCCAACTGCGCATTTTAAGAAATGAAGACGAAAATTATAGTAATAGAGCAACAGCATTAAATGCTTAAGCTTATCTCTGAAAAGAATCTACACTGCAAAAATATACATGGTTAGAGAGCTGACAAAGAATTTAGAATTCTAAGTCCTTTCTCTCTCTATCAAACTCCGTAACTCGGCACATGACCAGGGGCCATTATTATTATTAATATCATTATTGGCAGCCCTAATCGTAACAATGTATTCATTAAGGACAAACTTAGTAGTCTTTTTTGAAAAGAATTATATAGACAAATGTTTAAGGAAAGCACTGTAGGATTGTGATTTGCATAGCACATGACTTGGGGGAGAGAAGAGGAAAAGCAGGTTCATTGCAGTGTACATTGTGGGTGGTGTGGGCTAGTCAGCAACTCTAGTACCATAGCCAGGACCATAGAACTGACCATAAACACCCAAATAAAAGATACTTTTTTGTAGAAGAACATATGTGAAGTATCACTCGTTCTGAGACCTCTTCCTCTGTGACAGTCCATAGTCTTTTTCTATTAATAGATTTTTCCACAGAAAATATTAGCTGAAAGACAAGAGAAATATACATGAATTCATCACAAAATGAAAAATGTAGAAAAGGCAACGACAGTTTCTAATCTTCAGAATTTCGTGGAATATTATGGTATATTAACCACTTGTGATTTCATAAAATGATTCACATAAAAATTTAGTTTTAACTAAAAAATATAATTCCTTGTAATTAATAATTAATTGGACATGATACATTAATTGTGGGCAATTAGCATTTACATAAAGTATAGAATACAAACTTTACTTTTGTTATAAAGGGAAGTAATAAGTGATTTTTTTTAACCACGAAAATAAAACATGTTGTCCAGTTAGCATTTCTTATTTTAAATTTTACAAAACATGAAAGCAGTTAAAAATTAGGAGAAAAAAATCAGAATAATGACCTAAATTTGTGTCAGTTGTGTCAGAAATATTAACTATAAGGCATGGAGTTGGAATAAGGATAGAGTGTCATGAATGTGGCTGTAAGCTTTCTTACAACAATGTGTAGAGAAGTCTAATTTGCCATCTCATTCTTATGATCTATAAGCTGGAAACAACTGATCAGAAGGCACACACCTTTGCTGATAATATCAAAAAACATTGCTCCACAAAATACAGTATAATATAATAACCAAAATTATTGACAATAAACAATACATTTTGTAAAGTTATTTCTTGCAGTATCTCGCAAGATACACCATTTCTTTCCTATTTTTATTTTCAATTTGAGATAGTCCTATTATGTAGGCAAGGCTGTCTGAGCCAAGAGAGAACACACACAGGAAACCCTCCTAGGGCATGGTGCCATTCACAATGGCCTGAGACTTTGCCCATCAATTAGCAGTCAAGATAATCTTCCATAGACAGGCCCACAGACCAATCTGATCCTGACTACTCCTCATTTGAACTTCTTCCCTGGTGATTCCAGGGAACTTCCCTGGTTGAGAGTTAAAACTAACCAGCACATGCACAGAGATACATATCAGTGTATGTATCAGTGAGGAGCATCAGTGAAAAAGGAAACTCTACTCAAAATGGAAGAGTGCAAAAGACTGAAAAACATGCCAGGGAGGGAATATATCCTTTCTTCCTAGGCACAGAGTTTCAAAGCCATAGTTGAAATATCTGAAGCAGGGGAAACAAAAGTGGAGGTATCCACAGCACCTTCAGACTGCTTTTTTTTTTTTTTTTTTAATTGCCCCCAACTACCAGTTTTGTGCTTCTGAATGGTATAAGGTCCCTTTTGCTCAAAAGGTAAGATATGCTTGTGAAAGTACAAGTGGATCTTGAGTGTGTAAAGACACGAAAGCTTTCTGAAGACTACTTAGGTTTGAATTGAAGAGAAAGCTTCGGACTTTTACATTTACTTTTGAACTGATTACACTACCTGATTTTTCTGATGTAGTAGCAAAACAGAAAATATGAGATACAGAATATGCACCCCACCCAGGAGTAAAGAATAAGTATGTGATTATTGTTTACATATTAATCTCAAAACTTCAAAGGATATGATTAGCATATTTGATATTACTGCAATCACTTCCTAATAAGTAGAACGTCTACAAGAAAACTACTATTGCACAAGAAAAACAGTTAAACCATTACGACTTGTTATATAACATTATGATATCATCTTTTGAAAAATTCTTTTAAGGGTCAGTAAGATGGCTCAGCACGTAAAGGCATTTGAGGTGGAAGCCTGACAATCTGAGTTCAAGTCATGGGCTCCCTCTAAAGATGGAAGGAGGTCTACAAAGGTGTCATTGTTCTCTGACCTCCACAAGTTTACCATGGTGGGTGCATGACCAACCCCCACATCATATATACATATTTAGTAAGCAAACCTTAAAAATCAATTTAAAATATGTAGCTTTGACTGGAAAAATATTTAGATTTATTACACACAAGAGCTGCAAGCAAATGGATAGAAAAGGCCATTTAAGCATAATTCTAGCATAAAGGATTATGGAACACTAATATATGTATGTTTAAAGTCTATACATATATAATTAATTAAGTGAAATAATATGTAACTTTGATCTCATTAAGAGTTTTTGCTACATCAGACTTACTCTGCGCAGGGCATTTTGAAAATCATCTGCTAGTTCTAATGTTGTAATAATAAATATTCCAAGAACCACAAGTCCTCCAGGGAGCATTCTGGATACCTAAAGATAAAAATACAGTATTAGCTATCCTAAGCATGTCAGTCTCTTCTACTTGATATAGTTAACATTAAATCAGCAAATACCTATCCAGGACCAACAATACATATAGAATCCAGACAGACGCAGTTGGAAATCTGAAATGTAACTATATACTATAAAACCCTTCCCAGAGCACCCTCAACTTTAGATCTTAAAATCACTTTAATAACTTGCTTAGGTGCATCAATATATAGACCCCTTTCTCCTAAGATTTGTAAAGTGAAATTTTTTCAATGGTCTTCCAACTATCTGCAAAATACATATTTTACCTTAGATTGTCATTTTAGTCTTTTCAGAATCTGGCCAATCTGATATTCAGAAACATGGCTGATCTACTTTCTCTGAAATATTCAAGCATTGGTCAAAACTACACCCAGTTCACCACACATTGCCCCAGGCTTTCTAACTCTATACCTTTCTAAGGTTGCTTCCTCAGCCTAAACTGACTGCTCTCACACATGGATTCAGTAAGATAACTTCAAAGTCAACTTGAGGGAGCTGTCTTCCCTGACACAATGATCTCTGAACTTCCACAGTTTCCCTGAAGAATCATACAACCTTGTACGTGTATATACTAATCTATCCTCTATTTATATTTTCCCTTCACATGACATAGCTAGTTTTTATGTGTTTTTCTCTGCCAGCCAACTGCAGTAACAAGAGCACTTTCACTAGCTTTCATAGACTTATGATATAAGAGAGCAATCACAAAGTTAAATTTTAGAAATTAGATATTAAAGCATAATTTCTACTATATCTGCATTATATCAGCTCATGGTTCCCTCTGATTTTATAAATCCATTTAATCAGTATAACAAATGTGACAAAGTTTTCATATTTATCATGGGAAACCTATATAGCTTTAAAAATTAATACAAAGCTAACTCTAGAGGTAAAATATTAATTTAATTTCCTACTATAAATTCATGCATATTCTCTGTGTGTATTTGCATATAAATTATACAGAACACATTAAATTTCATAGGGAAGGTGGGGGTGGCTCAGTGGTTAAAGCACTTGCTGCACAAGCAAATCCCAAGAACCCATGTAATCGCTGGGTGGGTATGACAGCTAGCCTGTAATTCCACCTTCTGAGAGAGAAGACAAAGGATTCCATAGAGGAAGCTGGCCAGCAAGACAAGCAATATTACTCTGCCTCAAAGAGAAAGATGGCAGAGTGACTGAGAAAGATTACTGATATAAGCCTCAAGCCTCTACTTTTACACATGCAAACACACATACACAGCATGCATGCACACTACAGACACATGAAAGAAAGAAAAATTATAAGAAAGCAAAGCAAATTTAGTATAAGAAGTTATTTACATATATCAATAGGAATTAAAGTAATACCTTCTTTAAAAGACAATAGTATTATTTCTTGGAATTTTTTATAATTTCATACTACCTTCCCATGACAAATATATGCACATTTATTTATCTAAGAGGATTTTTTAAAAAGATTTATTTATTATATATACAGTATTCTGTCTGCCTTTATGCCTGTAGGCCAGAAGAGGGCACCAGATCTCATTACAGATGGTTGTGAGCCATCATGTGGGTGCTGGGAATTGAACTCAGGACCTCTGAAGACCAGCTAATGTTCTTAACCACTGAACCATCTCTCCAGCCCTATCTAACAGGGTTTTAAGTTGAGAAAGAAATACAATAATTCTACTTTTATCTTACTCTAATCTTCTTTACTATTTTTTATTCTATACCACAACTCATTCAAGAAATATTTTAAGTGAATTAGCATATTTATTACTTTTTCAGCATCTCCTAAATCCATTTTCTTTTCTCATAACAGTAATACTGTCCTCACACACACTCAAGGTAAAAATCTGGGCCAAAATCTCAGGCATCTTTGGCAATTGTCTCTTCTAAATCTCTTTATTCTCAATCCACTTGGTCACTGAAGTTTCATAATTCTAGCTAGCTCTTTTTCTGAAATTGTTAATGAAGTTTAAGCTAATTCACCTGCATTTTTTATCTTGGATCACATTCAAGCCCCACTCTTCCCAGATGCAGCCCACTACCCTATGCTTTTCCTTCCAACTTCATGTTCTTTTTTTTTTTTTTTTTAATAACACGTGAGTCCAATTTGTACTGCCCATATTCTCATTGGGGTCATCCAATGGAGCATGAGTGATTGACTGTGGGCACATATACTTCTTTTTAAAGCCACATCCTTAAAAAAAAAAAAAAAAAAAAAAAAGAGAGAGAGATCATGACTCTCCCTGCCCCTATGACTGGGCTTTTGTTTACCAAGTGTACTTAGAATTGTATGTAAAGCCACCCATAACAAGCCCTGTATTTAAATACATTTTCCTACATACTTTGTGTTCAACTATACTCAACTGTCCAACTGCTTATTACTTACCTAGTATTGTGTCTTTGTGTCACTTATCTACACTGTCCTGCACTTACTGAATGTGTTCTCGGACTTGCTCAATTAACAAAGTCCTAAGAGTCATTCATGTCATAGCCTTCTGTGAAACTGTTTTGCATTCAACCATTGGCATGCATTTAAGAAAGAATACTGTAAAATTCCAGTCTAGTTAACCTGGGAAGCATTTTTTTTTTTCTGTTGTTTATCAATTGAATACAAACATCTATATGGAGAGACAGTTTTACCTGGCTGGCATGTTCTGTGGCCCATTCTTCATCCAAAGTATCCGAGTTAGCTTTGGGATGCTTGATGTTCTCGTTCTGTTCCTCTTTGGGTGGTGTTCTAGTGGCAAGAATCACATAATCCTTTTGTGAAGAACACTTTAAAAACAAATTGTAAAAGCTTATTAAGTTATACCTGATTGAAGAATTAGATATTTCATGCAAAACAGCACTTCAGCAATTTACACTGTTCATACTCGTATGACTATGGAAGCTGTACTGAAGGGAACTGATTTTAATGAACAGCTTTACAGTATGTCTCTCATATGCTGTTTATCTTTAATGTACATGATATCAGCTTATTATTATTTACTTTGGCAGCCTTAATATAAAGCACAGAGTGGTCTTTAAAAATGATTCTGGGACAAGTGGTGGTGGCGCACGCCTTTAATCCCAGCACTCAGGAGGCAGAGGCAGGTGGATCTCTGCGTTCAAGGCCAGCCTGATCTACTAAGCAAGTCCAAGGACAATCAGCACTATTACACAGAGGAACCTGCCTCAAAAATAAACAAACAAACAAATATATAAATAAATGATTCTAGAACTGTGGATGTAGCTCAGTTGGTACAACAATTTCCTAGCATGCCGAAGGCCTTGGGTTGTAATCACCAGTGCCACATAAACCAGGCAGGATGGCATATATATGGAATCCAGCACACTCAGGAAGTAGAAACAGGAGAACCATGAGTTCAAAGTCATCCTGGACTACAAAGATTTCTAGGCTGGTAAGGGCTATACAAAGCTGTTGAACAAATTTGTTGTTGTTGTTGTTGAATGTGGAAGTAAACTGACATAACTAAAATACAATATGCTTAGTCAATACTCCAATTATTTTATTTATTTTCTCTGTAATTTAAATGGATTAGATGTTTAGCAAATATAAAATCTCATTTAGAAAATGACAATGACCTTGTTTATTTTATTTGGACTGCCATAATAGTTAAAAGTAAATAAGTAAGTAAACTTACATAGATGCATCGAGAGAACAATGAAGGGAATTTGGAACAAAATTCAAAGTGGTTCCAAACCCCAGGTTCTTCATTTTTAACAGCAGTTAAATGGCAATCAAAAGTGAAAGATCTATAAATAAAATTTATGGACTGGAAGAGATCTCAGTTTTGATACAGCATGGTTCCTAAGTTAGCTAATGAGGTTCATAATGTAGTTAGAATGGAGTTATCTCCAAATACCACCTAAAACAACCTAGAGACCATTAGCATCGTTGTACTAATTACAGAAAATCACTTCCAAATGTATTCAAGAGTGTTGTATGGCTTGATTAAAGGCCATGTCTCTTAGGGCTGGAGAGATGCCAAAATGGTCAAGAGTGAGTATTCTCTTGCAGAAGACCATGTTCAGTTCCAGAAACCACATCTGGTAATTCACAACAGCCTGTAACTCCAGCTTTAGGACTCCAACCCCTCTGGGTTCCTTGGGCATGTGAACTCACACACACTGAAAAGACTCATAAAAATAAAATGAAAAATATCTATCTACATCTTTTTTTTTTTAAGTCTGCCCCACCCCTTCTCTCATGGTTTTGGAACCAGGTTTTACACAGCCTAGACTGGCCTCAAACTCACTATGTAGCCAAGACTGATCCTTCTGCCTCTGCCTTCCAAGTACCAGGACTACAGCCATAAGCAACCATGCCTGACATAGAGGTGTCCCTTCTTTCATAAGATGTTGAACTTTGAAAAGAAAGAGAAACTGACATTTAGAGTAGTAAAAGCAATCTTAAGAAGACAGAAGAGGACAAAAGTGAGCTCTGGAATCAAAGGAAGAGAAAGAATGCAGAAAACGAAGAAATAAAGACAGTATAGATCTGGATATAGTGGTTCATCTATGCTGAGAATGGTACATTCAAGGCCAGTTTGGGCTCCATAGCAAAATCCCTGGTTTAAGAGGTGCTGAGTGAGTCAGGAAAGCATAGGAGGTAGTTTAGCCTGGGATCCTATTTCACGTAGGTCATCACTCACCTGCTCCCTCTTGTAATATACTTGGCAGCCTAGTCCCCTTCACCTGTAGGAACTATGCACAAACACCTCTCTCCTAGAGACCTCACCCCAAGGCCCCTACCAGCATTGGGCTACACATTACTTCCATCTCTAAAGAACAGTACAGACTTCCCTGTCCATCACATTAGGCAGTTTCTATTCAAGTGTATTCCCAACATATTTGGTAAGAATAGCAATGTCTACCCAGCCTAAAATGGTTTCACAGGTACATGTACAGCTAAACAAACTGTCAAGTGAACTTTTAGGGAAAAATCTTATGCCTATGAATGAATTTACAGTGAGTTAAATCAGGTGGGGCCGGACATGTACCTTAGGGAAAATAAGCACTAGACTTATGTAACCTAGCAATCAAAACAGACAACCACTCAAACTATATATATCCTTAGAAGCCAGCACCTCCTTCTTTTGAACCCCATAAAACTAAGCCACAAACATTCGGACACTTAAGTACTCTCACTCATGTGGCCTGCATTGAATCCGGACTTGTGCTCTGTTCCTTACGAAGTTATCTGCCACATTTGCAAATCAGTGAGTTCTTATTTTCAATTACTTGGATAAGAGGCCATGAACTTGGAAAGAACCAATCCCGCCCATGACCATGCTGACAACCACCAGAACACTGGGGGGGCTGAAACTTGGGGCTTTATTTATGTACCAAATTGAGCTATGTATCCAGTCCAAAACACAAAGGAAGCCAAATGTGAATAATCTGGTCATTGAAAAGTTACATTTTGACGTTTGGACATTATAAGTTACTTTCACAGTACCAAAGGGACCATGAGATGGTACTTATTCAAAGTTTAGCCAGGTTGCCTCTCTTTCAAATGTCTGGGTTACCTTCTTCAGATTTATGTCCCTTCCATATATGACCTTGAATTTACTATTAAATGGCATACTTAATTTAATGAGCAATTTGTTTTCATCAATATGCAAATTAACAGACATATACATACCTGTCCTATTAAAAGACCAGAGACAAAAGGTTTTCCCTGGAGATTGATGTTTGAAATATACTGGCCAACAGTCTCTTCTACAATGTAGGTTCTTCCCATTATTGACAGCCAATTCAATAGCCTAAATTACAAGAAATAAAGTTTGCATTTTTGAAAAAAAATTGTAATTTTTGATGTTTTAGCATGGGCAGATGGGTAATAGAGGCAAAAAAAAGTGGTACAATCCTGACAATTTTCCTATGTCTTGTAGTGAATATTTATGAAATAGGGCATTCTTTTTTTATACAATTGAAATGTAGCTTTGGAATTCTGGGTACAGTGCTGTAAGAAACCACTCCCTGAGGGCGGGAGAGATGGCTCGGAGATTAAATGAGTGTTGCTGCTTTCCCACAGGGCTTGAGTTCAGTGCCTAGCACCCAAGTCCAGTGGTGCACAAACGCCTGTAGCTCCAGCTCCAGGAAAACTGATTCCCTCTTCTGGAGTCTGCACACAAGTAACATACCCACACAGATACTCACACCAAATGAAAATAATAGTAAAAAGTACTTTTAAAGAAGAAAGTAAGGACCGACTCCCAGCCAGATACGGTACAGCATGCCTGGAACTCCAGCACTCCAGCAGCTGAGGCAGATTTGATGTCAGGAGTTGGAGGTCAGACAAGGCTATATAGTGAGTTCCAAACCAATTGGATCAAAATAGTGAAACCCTACCTCAAAAAAAAAAATCACAATTACCAATTAACCATGAGAAATCAAAGCTATTTCTCATTCTTGGGATAAGGAAATAATGAAACCATTAGTCAACACATCTAATTTCTTATTTTAGATCTATTCCTCAGCTACATTCTCTTTGTTAATTTATTGGTGAATTTCCATGTTCTCATTTCTAAATTATGAGACATGAATTTCCAATGAGTTCATTAAGAGGCAGAGAGATTCAAATTTCTTTACACAATATATATTATACAATTATTACTTTCTAGAAATTGTACTCAGCGGGAAGGCACAAAAGTGAACCATAATTGCTGACATGAGACAACTCACTTAACAGCCACTTAAGTAAACAGTAGTACAACAATGATAACTAACTATATAGCTTCCATTCTACACCGGGCATTATTCTAGGTACTTTCCATATATTGACATTTAATATATAACGCTACTACACAAGTACTACTGTCATATCTGTTTTATACATAAAGAAATCAAAAGAAGGAAATGTTAAATGACTCCACCAAATGACAAGACTGGTGTGTGTGTGTGTGTGTGTGTGTGTGTGTGTGTGTGTAAGGCGGGATTTAAGCTCTGACAGTTTTGCTCACACAGACAACATATACTTTCCTTCAATCAAATCATTGCAAAGGACAGCTCCTGTTCTCTCCTTCAGTTTGTGAATGGAAACTAGTATAATACCCGTACTAACTTAACCCCTCCCACCCACTTCGTTGAAAACAGGGTCTGACTACTAACCCAGGCTGTACTGAAATTATAACCCTTCTGCCTCTTACTCTGTTGTTGAGATCATAGGTATGTGCTAGCCCTTATTTTCAATCAAGCGTCAGTAAATTCCAGAAAAGCAACCAGGCATGAAACAAAGTACGTACTGAAAGTGCTGAAACATGATCTGGGAACAAACATAGTTCTGTTATTGGGGCAAGATGGTATCTTGGGAATTTTTTTTAACATTTTCATATAAAAACATCAACATCAGACTTTTTTTTCCTGCAATGTCATCTTAACACATAAACTACATTCAAACTCTTCCTGATTCCTTTTTGTCTAAAACATTAACTGGATTACTACTTAAATTCGCACCGATCAGTACCTCCAAGTACCAAAAGCATGTTTGTACGAGGTTTGACATGAGCTAAACTCCTCAGAACTGGACTTCAGAGTGCACCGGAGTGACTGTCCGTCCATATGTTCCCTACACTATACCCTTTCCTTGCTCCCTTTGAAGAGGAAGTTGTTGTTGCTCGAGTGTACACACCTTCGTGGGCCCACTCACTTGTTCGCAGAATGTGCACACGTGGCCAATAAATCCCCCGAACCTTCGGTCAGCAAGAGAACGCGGGTGAGAGGACAAGTAGCAGCCTTCAAGGGTCAGATGCCACTCAGGTGCTGCTTCCACAGCCTATGAACTCATCAAAAAGCGACTGCAGTCGCACCACTTCCCGCTCCAAACTAGGGCACCGACGGGCGCAGCCTGATGACGCAGGCCGTGCCGCACTCATCTCCGCAGCTCTTCCACCAAAGCAAGTGTGGCCTGCACCCCGCCCCCTTCGGGCACCATTGAGAGCGTGGCGGCAGCCCGGAGCCTGCTGATCCGCCCTGCCGCGACCCTCTAGCGGCTCGGTTTCTAGCAGCGGCCACCGAGGAGTACCCATGGCATCCCGGGGTTTTGACGGTAAGGTCGCCTTGCTCCTCGGGGAAGGACGATGGTTGCTGAGCACGTATGTAGCGCCACCGCGCGGACACTCGTCACCGCGGAACGAGGAGAGCCGGGGGCGGGGAGAAAGAAGGAAAGGGAACGGGAGGTGCGGGAGGGGGAGGGGGGTATCGAAGCTCGCGGAAGCGAGTCGTGAGAGATACTACATTTCCCAGGAGTCTTTGGGTCTGGAAGCGGGTGCAACCAAAAGTTAGGTCAGAGGCCCGCTGTGAACTCGCATTCCCAGCGTGCTTAGCTGCCGGCGGCTGCGTGCGCACCCGGGGCGCGGTGGCGCGGCCCGTGCTGCGTCTGACGCGGGACTCTATTTCCCAGGATCCCGCCGCGGGAGTCTGCGGCGGGCAGGCGCGAGGGAGCCAGCGAGCGACCCTGCAGACGGGGCGCCTCAGGCATCGGGGTTTCGCGCTTCGCCTAGCTCCTTCGTTTCTCCTTCGGCCGCCGCTGCCGCGACCCCGGCCGACATGGCGGCGGGGGGGCAGCAAGGGCTGTGTTGCAGCAAGTGCTGGAGCGCCCGGAGCTGAACAAGCTGCCGAAGTCGACCCAGAACAAACTTGAGAAGTTCCTGGCTGACCAGCAGTCGGAGATCGACGGCCTGAAGGGGCGGCACGAGAAATTTAAGGTGGAGAGCGGTAAGTGCTGAGCACCTTAGAGCTCTGATGGAGCCGTGGCTCGACCTTCCTCTTCACCCGCTTGCGCTCTGCGAGGTGGGCAGGTAGCATCACACAGGCTCCAGATGCAGTGTAGGCCTTCTCTTTTCTCCTCGATGACTGATTTTTTTTTTTTACAAAAAAAAAAAAAAAGAAAAGAAGAGAGCCGTCCTCCTCCCAGACCTAAATCCACCTTCATCGCGTCTTATGTAGGAACTCTTAACTTGGGCCCACATACAAACTGTGAAGAATTTTGGTCAGTTTACATCAGATTTTTAGGATTATGCCAACCAAATCGGATTCCGTTTTGTTGTTCTTAAATGACCGTAATTCCTCCCATTTTCTACCCACCTGGATGTATAAGCCTTTGCCAATTTCATCTCTTCGATGCCTTGTTCTTAGTGTATGTGTCTCCATGTGGTCCCATAACTAAGTAGATGGTCACGAAAATGAATTTGGATGCAAAAGACTTCACTAGAAAAAACAGTGAAATGGCACTAAATGAGTTGGATATATAGTGTTTCCCTCAAAGTTGGAGATGGATAGAAAATATATACAGATCTGCTTATATGCCCTTGTAGTTGCTTTTGTAAGAGAAAGTTATGAACTTCGTGGTTGGAACAGCCTTGAAATAAAAATAGTAATTACTGTTAATAAAATAGAATTTTTCTTGTTGCATGTTTTGGTTTACCATTAATTGAGGGAATTGGTGCAGTATTTTGGTAGAGATTGGAAAATCCACCCGAGTTAATTTTCACTTATCAAGCAAAGTTGACAATTGAAATTATACAGTTCATTGGTGAAATAAGAAATTTGCATAATAATACACCATATTCTGTTTATTTACGAAATAAATATTGAGTGATTTATATGTCCCAATACCAATACTAGAATGAAGTAAACAGTGTCTACATGGTCTCCCTTTTTTTTTTTTTTTTTTTTCTTGTGAGTTTTTGAGACAGGGTTTCTCTGTAGCCCTGGCTGTCCTGGACCTCACTCCGTAGACCAGGCTGGTCTCCACAAAGATCCTCCTGCCTCTACCTCCCAAGTGCTGGGACCAAAGGCATGCTACAACCACCCTGCTCTCAGTCTTTTTTTGTGGGAAGTCTGCATGTTTCTTTTTACGGAAATTTAAGCAGGTGGGTATTTTAACTATTTTACATGAAACCTTTTTAAACTACTCAGATTTTAATTAAATGAAATTTCAATTTAGGAAATACTTTTAAATGTTTAGCAATCTCCTGAGGTCTGGAGAAAATACCAAGATACGGCATTGTTGCCTGCTTAGAAGAAATTAATTCATGAATCCCCTTTTTAGGCATATTGTCTTTTGTTATATGTCAGTTGAAAATGTTGGAAAAGCCTTTTCAGTGCTAAATCTATATTGAGAATAGGTTTTCAAATATTAAGTTTTACAGTCACTATTCTAAGAAATGAATAGTGGTATTAAGACTACTGCTTTTGGCGGGGGCATGTGTGCTTGACTTTACTTTTAATGTTTGTATTGTCTTTTTTTAGAACAACAATACTTTGAGATAGAGAAGAGGTTATCCCATAGTCAGGAGAGGCTTGTAAATGAAACCCGTGAGTGTCAGAACTTGCGGCTGGAGCTTGAGAAGCTAAGTAAGTATTTAATTATATCTTTGTTACTGTTCTTGTGTGTTCCATTACTCCTTCGAGTAGCAGTACATAGGCAGGGAGACTGCCCCTCTTGGAAACAGGTTTTCCAGATAGCAAAGCCCTAAGCAGAGTGTTACTAACAAGGTAAGGAAGGACACACCCAGTCCTCCCCCCCCCTTCAGGCCCAGAGGCACACTGACCACTGTCACATCTCATAAGTCCTATATTAGTTTCTTCCTTCTTGGGGCCTTCCAAACACCTCCACCCAAACCACAAAAAAAGAAAAAAAAAAGTGTTTTTAGCCTAATTTGATGGTGACCACAGACTTTGGGCCCACACCTCTCCCTCACTACTTCCTCATAGATGAATCCTCTAAAAAACATGCTCTCTCTTGAGAGGGTTGTAGCTTTGCCCATTGAGGAGTAATGAAAACTTTCAGGTGTGCACCTTTCTGTCTCCCTCCCTATCTCTTCCTAAAACCAACCTGTGAAAATGCTCGGTAGGCATTGCAGTTTGTATTCATTGGGTAATTTGCTTTTCACTTAGTAGTAAAGACTAGTCGTCACAGTTGGGAGCACTGGTTTCTAATTCAGACTTTGGTATTAAAGTGGTTTCACCACACATACTAGCATATAATCTTTTTTAAAAGGATGGTGTTTGCTAGACCCACGTGTGTATGTTTCCATAGCTTTGTACATCAAAGGTATTTTGATAATGTTCGAAGTAGCTAAAATGTATGCTTGAAGATTTAAATAGTAACTTGTTTTCCTATTGAAAAATTAAAGTTATTGATTTCATTAGAAACTTTTATAACTACAAACTCCATCATATTTCTTCTATAAAGCCTAATTCTTGAGAAAGACCTTAGTTAAAGATTATAGAGGATGCTGCATTGTGACAGAAGAAAACTTAAGGGAAAGCCTTACATAAAGACCTTTGAGTATACTTTGATTTGATTTGACTTCACTTCATAGAGAAGGAGCATCAGAAGCTTATAATCAAGTGCTTAAATAAATGTCACCTTTTCTCTGGCTGTTTGGTTTATAATTTCTTCAGCTACCTTTGATACACTAACATTTAAAGGAAGATGTGTATTACATACATTCGTACATGTTCACACACACACACACACACTACTTTTCCTCAACAAAGCATGAGTCCTGCCTAAAAGGTACTAAAGAATTTTAGGAAAGTAACTGATTACAACTTCTTTTATTAGCCTACAACTTCTTTTATGAGGTATTTAGAGAAGACAGGGATGAGCATAGACAAAGATGAGAACCTTCTTAGGGTGGACAATTGTATTTGAAGTGTGTGTATACAATTACAGATGTGTACACCTGGAAGGTAGTAAGTAAAACAAATTAGGAAATCTAGAGTAACAGTTTTTTGTTTGTTTTCCTTTTATAATGATGCAGTTAAAAAAAAATGTCAATTTGCTTATACATAGAAACTGGGGTGATAGATGGTTCAAGTGATTAAGAGCACTAGCTGTTATTCTACAGGAGCCAAGTTCAGTTTCCAGCTCCCACACCTTCTAAAATTCTAGGTCCAGGGCATGTGGCAGTGACAACTTCTGGCCTCCTTGGGCTCCTGCACACACATAACATCTGTTTAACACAGGCACACACACGTGTGCACATAAATAAAAAACAATCTTACATAATACCGCTACATAATGTAGCAATTGTTTGTTTCTTCTTTGAGGCAAGATCTTCCTAGGTTGTCCCAAGTAGCCCCAAACTTACCTTGTATATTAGGCTGGCTTTGAACATGTAGCTATCCTTCTTCCTCTGCCTCTGTCTCCCAAGTGCTGGGGTTTTAAGTGTGTACCACTACACCTGGCTTTAGATGCTTCCGTGAAAGAAATTTTCAAGTGTGTATTTTTCCTATATAACTATATCCTAAGGAGAGATGTTTATGGGAAGATAAACACATCATGAGTACTGATGGATGCAAACATTTTTTTCTTCTGTGGGAAAGGCACACCTCTTAGTGATTAAAAAAAAAAAGCATGGTATTACAAATGATAATTATGATATGTAATGAATGCATTTTATGTAGTTCAAGCTACATTACATGTATTGATCCCAACCTGCTTGTTCTGTTTTACATAAACTTAGAAAATGGCATTGAAAAGCTGACATTGCTAATTTTACTACAAATTGGGAGTAGAATTATTACATTTGATTGTAGCATATTTAAACTTTAGTCTGGAATATAGACCAGAATGTATTCACAAATTTGGAATATGGTTATAAATCAGTCTTTATGGACTCTAGTTCATTTTAAAAATGTGTAACAGTGGCAGTTGTGTAAAAATGCCAATTTTAAGTTAATACTTCTGTGTGCATTACATTCCTTTTTTTTTTTCCTCTAGATAACCAAGTAAAAGTGTTAACTGAGAAAAACAAAGAACTTGAAACCTCTCAAGATCGTAATCTAGGCATTCAGGTAAAACTCTGTCCAGTAAATAATGCTGATTGCAATTATGAACTTAAGTTTTCTGTTCTGCTTCTATGTATTAGATAGTAGTCAGTGGAAGGTGAAATGTTCTACTAGAAGCTGCCGACAAATATGTATATAGAAATGTGTACATACAATTTCTCTAATTGATGTTTGATGTATTATCTGTTGACTGGCAGCTGTAGCCCAGCATTCACTGTGTTTTGATACAGTTAGGGAACTGAGTCCCTCTAAGTC